TGCTGATGCTGATGCGCTGATGCTGATGCTGATGCTGATGCTGATGCTGATGCTGATGCTGATGCTGATGCTGATGCTGATGCGCTGATGCTGATGCTGATGCTGATGCTGATGCTGATGCGCTGATGCTGATGCTGATGCTGATGCTGATGCGCTGATGCTGATGCTGATGCTGATGCTGATGCGCTGATGCTGATGCTGATGCGCTGATGCTGATGCTGATGCTGATGCTGATGCTGGTGCTGATGCTGATGCGCTGATGCTGATGCTGATGCTGATGCGCTGATGCTGATGCTGATGCTGATGTTGATGCTGATGCGCTGATGCTGATGCTGATGCTGATGCTGATGCTGATGCTGATGCTGATGCTGATGCGCTGATGCTGATGCTGATGCTGATGCTGATGCTGATGCTGATGCTGATGCGCTGATGCTGATGCTCATGCTGATGCTGATGCTGATGCTGATGCGGATGCGCTGATGCTGATGCTGATTCGCTGATGCTGATGCTGATGCGCTGATGCTGATGCTGATGCTGATGCGCTGATGCTGATGCTGATGCTGATGCGCTGATGCTGATGCTGATTCTGATGCTGATGCGCTGATGCTGATGCTGATGCTGATGCGGATGCGCTGATGCTGATGCTGATGCTGATGCGCTGATGCTGATGCAGATGCGCTGATGCTGATGCTGATGCGCTGATGCTGATGCTGATGCTGATGCTGATGCGCTGATGCTGATGCAGATGCTGATGCTGATGCTGATGCTGATGCGCTGATGCTGATGCGCTGATGCTGATGCTGATGCTGATGCTGATGCTGATGCGCTGATGCTGATGCTGATGCTGATGCTGATGCTGATGCGGATGCTGATCCTGATGCTGATGCTGATGCTGATGCTGATGCTGATGCTGATGCTGATGCGGATGCGCTGATGCTGATGCTGATGCTGATGCGCTGATGCTGATGCTGATGCTGATGCGCTGATGCTGATGCTGATGCTGATGCGCTGATGCTGATGCTGATGCTGATGCGCTGATGCTGATGCTGATGCTGATGCGCTGATGCTGATGCTGATGCTGATGCTGATGCTGATGCGCTGATGCTGATGCTGATGCTGATGCGGATGCGCTGATGCTGATGCTGACGCTGATGCTGATGCGCTGATGCTGATGCTGATGCTGATGCTGATGCGCTGATGCTGATGCTGATGCTGATGCGCTGATGCTGATGCTGATGCTGATGCGCTGATGCTGATGCTGATGCTGATGCGGATGCGCTGATGCTGATGCTGATGCTGATGCTGGGGGTGATGGGGGTATGTGGGTGATGGCGGCGGTGGCATGTTGAGGATCGTGGGGTTGCGCATACAGCCAAGCCAACCATGGGGACAACATGGCACGGCATGGCACGGCATGACATGACATGGCATGGCAGGGCAGGAGAGGGCGGGGAAGCGGAGGCAGGGAGAACAATGCAGCGCACCGCCCAGTCGGACTGTGAGTCGCCGTGCTGCCCCGTGGTGCAGCGTGTGTGGTAGATGGCCTCGGCTATCGTTATCACCCGCCCAGTCATGCCCGCTAGCAGCCTGTCCCGCGCCTGGTGGATGGCAGGGAGGAAAGAGGGGAGTGAAAAGGGGAGATTGTGGGTTCTTGGAATGGAAGGTGGTGCAGCGCGTGTGGTAGATGGCCTCGTCTATCGTTATCACGCGCGACGTCACACCCGCTAGCAGCCTCTCGCGCGCCTGGGCGGGAAGGAGGGAAGGGGACGGCAGGAAGGGCGGAAAGTGGGGGAGGCGATGGTGAGTGAGGTGCAGAGGGTTGGGAGGACGGGGAGTTGGGCGAGGGAACACGGGCCAGCTTGCGAGCGGGGCAGATTGCAGGGGTGGGCAGCACAGCTTACATCGATGAGCACGTTGACTGGCGGGTCGGCGTTGGGTCTGCTCTCCTTCACCACCGCCAGTGCCTCGCTCACTGGCATGCCCTTGGCCAGCACCAGGTACCTGCCATGCCATGCCATGCACACACCACAATGCATGGAGCGCACGAGGGAGACTGGTGATGTGAAGGGGGTATGGCTTGGGAAGAGTGGAGGGTCAACACTGTTTGGTGAGGGAAATGCAACAACATGGCAGACACAATAGCAGCGATTGAGGACGAGAGTGAGCAGGGGAAGAATCACAGAGCAGGCAATTTCCTTGCGCACTTGAGGGAGAGAGAGAGCGCACATAGAGCAGGTGGGGCGGAGGGAGAGTGGAAGGGCAGTGGACCCACCCGAGGGCGATGAGGGGGGAGAGGCGCGCGGCAGAGGGGCAGCGCAGCAGCACCCTGTGGCCCATGGCGGCCAGCGCTGCCACCACACGCACTGCCTGCGGTAGCATGGCTGCCTGCAGGGTGGGTGGGAGGCGCGCAGGAATGGACTATGAACGTGAGGGTGCGGTATGGGAAGGGAGCGTGGAGGGGCAGCGCAGCAGCACCCTGTGGCCCATGGCTGCCAGCGCTGCCACCATGCGCACTGCCTGCGGTAGCATGGCTGCCTGCACAGGGGCAGCGTGGGATGGGATCGGGTTCAAGGGGACGGATGTGGTATGGCCTGAGAGGACAAGTGCGACAAGCACAACAGGTACCAAACAGCCCCTACCCCGGCACACCTGTTCGGCGGAGTCACTCTCGCGGATGGGTACCCACACGGCCACCAGCCCCGCGTCCTGCAGTGCGCGCTTCTCCTCCTCCCACCCCGTGCCCCGCGCGCCGTAGCTCCCCTCCTCCTGCACCGCGCACGCGCACACAAGCGCACAGTCACACCCACGGATCACGCCGTTCATGACTTGGAAAAAACCGGCAAGAATCGACCGTATACTGACGCTAGCTGCCACTGCTGCCGCTCTATTACAATCCCGCGGGCAAGCACGGAGCGGCGCGAGCGCGCACCTCGAGAACGACGACGGCGGTGATGCGCGCGTCCCTCGCGAGCGCGGCCACGGCGGCGGCGCTGCTGCTGACGGCCAGCGACCCCACCGCCACCTCCTCCGTCACCGCCGCCCACGCCGACGCGGGTAACGCGCTCCCTGCCGTTCGTTCGTATCAGGGACGAGAAACACGCGGCTTTTAGGGTACGGCAAGAGTAGCACGCTGCGCATAAGAAACGGGGAGCTTTCCGTCGTTCGAACTTCGAAGCTCAATGCTTTCTATTCTAATTTCCCTTTTCTGCATAATTTCGAACGGAAATTGCACCCAACCGGGAACGGTGCGTTGAGCTGTGCGCCTGCGCGCTTACTCGGTTGCGCGTCGCGGGCTGCGCCGTTTGCGACGTCCGCGGAGACGGCGGAACCGACGGCGACCACCTGCGAGGTCCATCGACGCAACGGTTCAGATGCACTGTCAGACCAACGCAACCAAATGCCTTGGAAAAACATGATTGCAACACTTAAAATCAAATTGTAGAACAAGTAATGCCTGTTACGAGTGAGGCCGGCATCATTCAGTGAGGCATTACCTGGAGCCTGGTGCTGCTAGCGGGCGGTCTTCTGAAGGGAGGGCGGGAAGGCGGGGGAAACGAACGAAGGGATATGGCAAGGAGGAATGAGGCGACGAGACTTGACTTTTGTGCAACGAGTGCGTGGAGCTTGAATTTCGAGCGAGCGGGTAAGGAATGGCAGTCAAGCTTTACACGCTTGAAATGGATTGCGAGGAGTGCTGCACGGCGCTGCACACAGGCAGAGAGTGCGTGTTTGCACTAGGGGTGCACACCTGGATGTTAGCCGTCGACGGGTCAGCGCGGGGAATACGCTCCGCCTGGCGGAATGCGACGGCCGCGGCGCTTTCGTTAGGGACTGCGCTACCGCTGGAACCGCGCTGCCTCGTATTGGCTCCGACGGACGCGCTAACGAACTATACCGCGACGACTGCGGGTGCATATTGTCGGTCGGTATGCGAGGAGAGGATATTCCTTGGCGAAGGACGCCCGCCATTGCAAGGAAACTGCAAATGCGCACCGATAAAGCCGAGACTTATGCAGCTAGGAGAAGCACGCAAGTGAAGCTTCTATATCCGCCAGCTGATCAAGCTCAGCCTCGGACTAATCAGATGCGAATCCTCTCTACGGCAGCTCCCACTAGGAAACGTTCCAGACACTACCCAAACGAAAGCACTTTATCCCGAGCGCCTACTTACATGCACGAGTTTTGTGCCACACAATTCTGGAGAGCCGACGAGAGAGCAACCATGGCGGGACAATCCCTAGGGCTTGAAGGTCAGCCCTGTGTGTCCTGGTGCATCGTGCTTTTGCTGTGTCACTCTTGCGTGTCGCGACTGTCGCTCCCGCTTCGTTCTGGTGAAGATGAATTCGCACAATCTTCGCGACATGCTTTCTTTTCGCAATCCACAGCATTTCTAGTGCCCGATGTGCCAATGGGGAATTGTGCGGCGGAGGTTCCAGATACCCTTGTTTCCGTTTTCGCCCTTCTGTGGTTTGCTGTGGCTGAACGAAATGCTGCGAAACAGGTCGAAGCGGTGGGGGATTGCCGTGAGCTGTCCTTTGTATCAGCCAAATGTGTGGCCCCGTACGTGGATGGTATGCCACGTGTACCGAAAAGATAAAGATCCCGTGAACTGGGAAAAGAAGGCCGTTGGCGAGAGGTTACCCGTCGGGGGACGCGAAGAAAGCTGGCGAAGAATGCGAGATAAATATGTCTGGGCCTGGAAACTTCTGGCGCGCGGATTTGGTCCCTCTCTTCCCGCCCTTCACCCTCGATATTCGCACGCCATACCATCACTTATTCTCCTCTAGCCCACTTTTCGGCCAAGATTAATTCTCAGTTCTTTTGAATCTTCCTCCTCAGTCCTGGGCCTTGACCTGACACACTTCGGCAGCGGTTTGTTCTTGCTGCAAGCCATCGTTGCTAACGGTGTCTGCAATACCTAATCGCCAGTCCTCCTTGTTGATTCTAGTCCTGTCGCGCGGCATTCCTATCGGCACGTTGGTTCCAGCGTACAGGACGCCATGGCGCAGCTCGTGCGTCCAGCGTCAGTGTCAGCGTCAGATCTATCTTGCAGAAACCTGGAAGCGAGATTAGAGCCGAGCGCTGCTGCCATTGTACGACATGAACCGTATGGGTCGTTTCCTCGACCTCGTACTCTCCGGTTCCCCACTCCGGTCGGCAGAAGAGCGTTATCCGTCAGAAGCGCCGCCGATTCAAGGTAGTGTTGACTTTAGGGTTTTGCCTTTTGGTCCATCTGGCCAACCAGCCTTTGCAGATCTAGATCTGAATCGATCAGACCGCTTTGACAACGACTACGAAACCGCATTCCTCACCACTCATTCATTATCATTTAATCTCTGGATGTTTTCCCTCTTGTCCATTTCTCCCGGTTTCTCTCCCACGCAGTCAGTCGGCCAATGAACTGGATGGAGTCAAAGTAAGGATCTGTTGTTCAATGCAATTTAGTAGCGTCGCATTGTAGATCCCGTGCAACACCGCTAATACGTGTCCGGGTAATAGTCGCCTAACAATGTGTAACCACTTCGCAGGTATCGCCGAACTCGTCAGGGAAGGCTTCAGGCGGCGACATGATGAAGCTCTTCAACGACGCGCAACAGAGTAGGTGCCACACCAACAAATCGCCCTGCTACAAAGGAGATCGTGACCGCTAGAAAAGTAACGCCAGTACGCTTAGGAACATGCCTCTCCTGGTAGCCAGTGTGTGCTGTTCCAGCATTTCTCCAACATACCAGATCATCCGGATTTATTCTTCCTCCTCTCCCTCATGCACTTCCCCTCCGCAACGCATGCTGCACCTCATCCCCCCCATTCCCCCCTTTCCGCTCGCCCCCATTCTCCTTCCCCCCCAGACATGCTGTACCTGAACAAGCAGCGCCTCATCGCGCTGGACGAGCTGCACAAGGCGGAGGCGGAGCGCGAGTACCTGGCGGCGCGCGTGGCGCAGCTGCAGGCGGAGGCGGAGGCGGGGGAGGCGCAGCGCAAGCTGCTGGAGGAGCGCCTCAGAGCCGCGGATCTGGGCGTCGCCGCAGGTGAGGGCTGGGATGGCCTTGGTCTGCTCTGATTGAGTAAACGCTCGAGTGAGACTCAGAGAGAAATGCTGGGGCAGAGGCGGCGCAGAGAGAAATGCTGGGGCAGGGGCGGCGCAGAGGCGTCGCCGCATGCGGGGTGTGCTCTGATCGAGCAAGCCCTTGCGTGACATTCCCAGGGCGATTTGGCGGAGAGGCGTAGAGCAGCGGAGGGGGGGCTTGCTGCACGGGGAGGGGCTGGGGCTCGGGTGATGGAAGTGTGCATGGCGCCCCCATCTGTTGCGTCACCCTTCGTCGTTGAACTCCATCTCCACTCCTCACACCCCACACCCCCACCCCTCCCCCCACACCCACCCAACCCCTACCCTCTTGCTGTCTGCACCACCCAGCAGCAGCGTCAGCCCCACCCGCTCAGCAGCGGCCGCGGGGACAAGCAAGGCGGGCAGCAAGGCGGGGGAATTTGAGTCCGTGTGGAGTCACCTGCTGCTGCGCGTGGACGGGCGGCTGCTCGCCAAGGCGCTCACCGCTTGCCCTTGTCAACCCGCACCCCACGGCCCACCCCTCCCCCCACCCCACCCACCCCACCCACCCCACCCCCCCCAACCTCCTTGCTGTCTGCAGCCCCCAGCACCCCCACGCGTGCAGTACCTACGGCTCCGGGCAGCAAATCGAGCGGAAAAGCGGGCAGCAGCAAGGCGGGGGAACCGGCGTCCGTGTGGAGCCGCCTGCTGCTGCGCGTGGACGGGCTGTTGCTCGCCAAGGCGCTCAACGCGGGGCAGGCGCAGGCGCTTAGAGGGCTCGCTGCCGCCCGGGACGCCCGCGCTGCTGACGTGTACGCTGACGTGGAGCCGCTGGAGGACGCACAGGTGGTGCGCGCGCTGCTGCGACTCATTGATGGCAGCAACAGGTGCGGGGGAAGAGGGGGGAAGGGAAGGGGGGGAGGGAGAGGAGGGAGGAAAGCGGGGGAGGAAAGGGGGAAAGGAATGGGGGAGATGAAAAGGGGGGAAGAAGGTCGGTTGGTAAGCAATGAAATGTGTGCTGTTGGATTTGGCAATTTGATCTACCACCCTGCCCATCCCTATTTCCTCTCATGCAAAAATTGCCCCCTCCCCACACTTCCCTTCCGCACAGAACCCTCCACGTGGTGCATGTGTGCACGGAACTCGCGCCAGTGGCGCAGGCAGGGTCGCTAGCCACGTGGATGGCGGGGCTGTGCCGTGCACTGCGCAAGAAGGGCCACCTGGTGGAGGTCATTCTGCCTCTGTAAGCCAGCAATGTGTGGCTCGCGATTTTCTGTGCTATTCTGTGACCACGTGCAGTAGGCTAAGGTGTCTTTCCGTTCCAAAGATCTTACCTTCTATGCTGTTCTTCTTCTGTGTTGCTGCCATTCAGTCACTCCTCTATTCACTGCTCTCAGCCATGCTCACAAGGCATGCACAGGTCCATCACCCTTCCATTTCTGCCCGTGCCCACTGCTGCCGCTTCCACCACCACCATGCAGATACTCAAGTGTGGACACGACTGCCATTGAGGACTTCCGAGAGGCATTAGGAGTGGTACTTGACCACCCCAACCACCCCCCCCTGTTCCCCACACTCTTGCATCCGCCTCACCCACCCACTGCGGTGCAGGTACTCAAGTGTGGACACGACTGCCATTGAGGACTTCCGAGAGGCGCCAGGCGAGATCATGTCCTTCTTCGATAACAAGTGGCACAAGAATAAGATCTACACCGGGTGGGTGGCACAAGAATAAGATCTACACCGGGTGGGTGGACGAAGCCAATGTTCGTCCATATGTTCTTCACACTTAGCCTTGTCGTACCACCATTGCCTACCTTGCTGCCGTTGCCAACCCTCTCTTGGTTTTTGCTAACCTTCCTTCCTGTGTTGCCCGTATGCGTCTGCCCGCCTGCTTGCCTGTCTCTCTTCATCTCTGCCTGCCTGTTCTCATCTCTCCCCCACAGCACGGTGCACGGGGTGCCAGTGACGTTCATCCACCCGCTGCACCCAGCAGCCTTCTTCCAGAGGGACCACCTCTACGACTACGAGGATGACTTTGAGCGGTGAGCCTTGGGTGGCCTTGAGCAGTGAGGTTTGGGACAATGCTGGAGTAAGTGCGGAAGCAGGGCAAGCATGAACGGCGTGCTCATTAACACCGCTGCACCCAGCGGCCTTCTTCCAGAGGGACCACCTCTACGACTACGAGGATGACTTTGAACGGTGAGCCTTGTGTGCCTTTGAGCGGTGAGCCATGCCTGCACTGCACCACACAGTATTTGAGCGGCGAACCATTGATGTATCACATCATCTCGCCAAGCGCTCTCTTCATACCGCGTTGAACAGTGCACTATCAGTTTTGAGCGTAGTTTTCTTAGCATTGCAGCAGGGCGTGCATATACTTGCTCAGTTGCTTCTCCCATTTTTTCCCCCCTTCTGCACTTCCTCACCCTCCCCCTCTCCCCCCTCACCCCACAGCTTCACGTACTTCACGCGGGCAGCGCTGGAGTACGTGCAGCAGCAGGGCAAGCATCAGCGCTTACTCACAAACACTGTTTGAGCTCCGTGTCCCATGATCCCCCCTCCCCTTTCTCCTCCATACCCCCCTCCCCCTTTCCAGCTTCACCTACTTCACGCGGGCAGCGTTAGAGTACGTGCAGCAGCAGGGCAAGCAGCCGGACGTGCTGCATCTGCACAACTGGCACACGGCGGTGGGCGCACCGCTGTTCTGGGACATCTACCACCACCAGGGCATGCCCGACACCCGCATCCTCTTCACCTGCCATGACGCCCGCTTCCAGGTAACACCTGGTTGCAGGTACAGCTGCTGCTCGCAGGTTGCAGGTAACCCTTCTTGGTTTCCGCTTTCCCGGTTTCCAGGTATCCAGGTTTCCCGGTTTCCCGGTTTCCCGGTATCCCGGTTTCCCGGTTTCCCGGTTGCCCGGTTTCCCGGTTTCCCGGTTGCCCGGTTTCCCGGTTTCCCGGTTGCCCGGTTGCCCGGTTTCCCGGTTTCCCGGTTTCCCGGTTTCCCGGTTTCCCGGTTTCCCGGTTGCCCGGTTTCCCGGTTTCCCGGTTTCCCGGTATCCCGGTATCCCGGTTTCCCGGTTTCCCGGTTTCCCGGTTTCCCGGTTGCCCGGTTTCCCGGTTTCCCGGTTTCCCGGTTGCCCGGTTGCCCGGTTTCCCGGTTTCCCGGTTTCCCGGTTTCCCGGTTTCCCGGTTTCCCGGTTCCCGGTTTCCCGGTATCCCGGTTTCCCGGTATCCCGGTTTCCCGGTTTCCCGGTTTCCCGGTTTCCCGGTTTCCCGGTATCCCGGTTTCCCGGTTTCTCGCTCCATCGCCCCCATTCTTGCAAATTCAAGCTTTTCAACCGAAGGCACACACAGCATGGGGAACGTTGCCCTGCTGACCTGGCGCGAGCTCTGTGCACACGTGCACCGCAGCCAGCTATGCCTCCTGGCGCTCCTGGCTTGACGCCCTCTAGTGGGACCGTCTTGCCTCTTGCTCCCTCACCCCATCTCTTCACATCCCGGATTCCCCACCCCGAACCTCCTCACACCCCCCAATCCCCACCGCATGCCATCTTCCTTGCGCGCTCCCTCACTCTTTCCACAGAATGCCCAGCCGGCGGGCAAGCTTGCGCTGGTGGGGCTGGACCCCTCACAGCCGAACCGCCTTGCCTCTTGCTCTCACTCACCTCATGTCCTCGCACCCACCAATGCCTCGCAACCCCCCCTGTGCTCTCCCTCTCGCTACAGAACGCCCAGCCAGCGGACAAGCTGGCGCTGGTGGGGCTGGACCCCTCTCAGCTGAACCGGCCCGACAGACTGCAGGACAACCGCGACCCCGCCCTCGTCAACCTGCTCAAGGTGCGCCCTGCTCCTCTCACATGCTGTCGCGCCCATGACTCGCTGTCGCGCCCTCATTACTCCCACCTAGGCCACCACAGTGTCTTGTGCATATGCCTTCTCAGTTGTCTCAGAAGCCACCCGTGCTCCACAATCCCGCCTCTCCCCTCCCCACCCTCTACGTACACCACAGGCGGCATCGTGTATTTCAACAAGCTCACAGCAGTGTCGCTCACTTATGCCTTATCATTCGACTCAGAAGCTCCCCTTGCCCCTCCATTTCCCCTCTGTGGTGGTCCGTTTCTCTCTCTCCCTCCCACCCTCTACCCACACGACAGGGCGGCATAGTGTATTCGAACAAGGTAACAACGGTGTCACCCACGTATGCCAGCGACATGAAGACTCGTGAGCTCGGCTGCGGCCTCGATGCCACCGTCGCCATCCACAGGTGGCTACCTGCCCGCTCTGCCCCACCACTGCACCCTGCCCGCGCCTCCTCCACGACATATTCCCCTTGCAGCTTTATCCTGTCGCTGTGTTCCAATCTTGGGCCCGCCTGCTCGCTGCCAATATCCCTTTCCCTACCCTATAGTCTGCATCTGTCCTCCAGGACCCCAACGCAAGACATGCGATACCAACTGTGCTGTATGTGTGTCTCCGCCCGTTCAACCATCCACATCCTCCCACCCGCAGCCAGAAGTTCGTTGGCCTGCCCTCCGGACTCGACCAATACGTGTGGGACCCGACCAGGGACCTCGCACTCCCCGTGCCACTCGCAGCCTCGGACCCCATGCCTGGCAAGGCCGTGGCTCGGGCAGAGGTTCGGAAGAGGCTGGGGCTGCCAGTGATAGACTCGGCATCGGGGTTGGAGAGGGCAGTGGTGGCGTATGTGTCGCCGCAGATAGGCGAGGCGGATGTGGAGCTCATCAAGGGGGCGCTCTCGTGCTCCCTCGCCTACCAGGCCCAGGTGGGTCAGGGGATTTTCCCCTTCCATTTCCTTCGCCTGTCCCATCTTGTCTTCCATCCTGCTTCTCTCGTGCCTTTTTCTTCTCAACGATTCGCTCACTCCCTTCTCTTCCCGCTCTCCCTGCTCTCCCGGCCCTCCCTGCCCCGTCCCCCGGTGCAGTTTGTGCTGGTGGGGGCAGCACGCTCGCCCAAGGTGCAGATGGCCCTCGAGGAGCTGCAGAGGGTGCAGCAGGTGAGGCCATGGGTGCAGAACTGTGCAGCAGGTGTGGCGATAGGTGCAGAGCGGTGCAGCAGGTGCGGCGATTGGTGCAAAGGAGAGCTAGGGAAAATATACTTTGAGAGGGGGCACAGGGAGAGCTGCAAAGCAGTGAGCAGGGTGGACCATGCGTCAAGCAGGTGTGCTGGGAGGTGTGTCAGTCTGTGCCGTCTCTCTCTCCCCCTCAGTCTGACCGTAATTCACGCCTGTAGGTCATGTGTGAGGATTTCCTCTCACTTTTGGGTGACCTGAGTCGACTCAAATCTCTATCTCCCCCCACCACCCACCCATCAGGACCGCAATGCACACCTGGAGATCGTGTACGAGGATGATGTGGCGCATCTGCTGGTAGCGGCGGCACACGTGCTGCTCTGCCCGCCCCTCCGCGACCCCTCCTCACACTTGCCGGTCAGTGCCCTCACACTTGCCGGTCAGTGCCCTCACACTTGCCGGTCAGTGCCCTCACACTTGCCGGTCAGTGCCCTCACACTTGCCGGTCAGTGCCCTCACACTTGCCGGTCAGTGCCCTCTCGGATGCCTTTTAGTGCCCTCACGCGTACCTTTCAGTGCGAGCTTTGATTGCCGCAAGGTTGCTCTCTTCAACAGCCTAACTACCTATCAACCTAACAGCCTGACAGCCTGACAACCTAACAGCCTAACAGCCTAGTAGCCTAACAGCATAACAGCATAACAGGGTAACAGGGTAACAGTATAACAGTTTAAAAGCCTAACAGCGTAACAGTGTATCAGCGTAACAGCGTAACAACCTAAAGGCGTAACAGCCTAACAGTGAAACAGCGTAACAGCCTAACAGTGTAACAGCATAACAGGGTAACAGTATAACAGTCTAAAAGCCTAACCGCGTAACAGCGTATTAGCGTAACAACGTAACAATCTAAAGGCGTAACAGCATAAAAGCGTAACAGGGTAACAGTATAACAGTCTAAAAGCCTAACAGCCTAACAGCGTAACAGCGTAACAGCGTAACAGCATAACAGCGTAACAGCCTAACAGCCTAACAGCCTAACAGCGTAACAGCGTAACAGCCTAACAGCCTAACAGCGTAACAGCGTAACAGCCTAACAGCGTAACAGCGTAACAGCATACAGCCTAATAACCTAACAGTGTAACAGCCTAACAGCGTAACAGCATAATAGCCTAACAGCTTAACAGCGTAACAGCCTTACAGCGTAACAGCGTAACAGCCTAACAGCGTAACAGCCTAACAGCGTAACAGCCTAACAGCGTAACAGCCTAACAGCATAACAGCCTAACAGCGTAACAGCGTAACAACGTAACAACCTAACAGCCTAACAGTGTAACAGCCTAACAGCCTAACAGCGTAACAGCGTAACAACCTAACATCGTAACAGCCTAACAGCGTAACATTGTATCAGCGTAACAGCGTAACAGTCGAACAGCCTGGTTGCCTAATGCCTAACAGTCTAACAGCGTAATAGCGTAACATCGTAACAGCGTAACAGCCTAACAGCGTAACAGCGTTTCAGCCTAACAGCCTAACAGCGTAACAGCCTATCAGCCTAACAGCCTAACAGCGTAACAGCGTAACAGCGTAACAGCCTAACAGCGTAACAGCGTAACAGCGTAACAGCCTAACAGCCTAACAGCCTAACAGCGTAACAGCGTAACAGCGTAATAGCCTAGCAGCCTAACAGCCTGACAGCCTAAGAGCGTACAGCCTAACAGCATAACAACGTAATAACCTAACAGCCTAACAGCCTAACAGCGTAACAGCGTAACAGCGTAACAGCCTAACAGCCTAACAGCCTAACAGCGTAACAGCCTAACAGCGTAATAGCCTAACAGCGTAACAGCCTAACAGCGTAACAACGTAACAGCCTAACAGTCTAACAGCGTCACAGCCTAACAGCCTAACAGCGTAACAGCGTAACAGCCTAACAGCGTAACAGCCTAACATCGTAACAGCCTAACATCGTAACCGCCTAACAGCGTAACATCGTATCAGCGTAACAGCGTAACTGCGTAACAGCCTAACAGCCTAATAGCCTAACAGTCTAACAGCGTAACAGCGTAACATCGTAATAGCGTAACAGCCTAACAGCGTAACACCGTTTCAACCTAACAGCCCAACAGCGTAACAGCGTTTCAGCCTAACAGCCTAACATCCTAACAGCGTAACAGTGTAACAGCGTAACAGCCTAACAGCATAACAGCGTAACAGCCTAACAGCCTAACAGCGTAACAGCGTAACAGCGTAACAGCGTAATAGCCTAGCAGCCTAACAGCCTGACAGCCTGACAGCCTAACAGCCTAACAGCGTAACAGCGTAACAGCCTAACAGCGTAACAGCGTAACAGCATATTAGCGTAACAGCCTAACAGCCTAACAGCCTAACAGCGTAACAGCGTAACAGCGTAACAGCCTAACAGCGTAATAGCGTAACAGCCTAACAGCCTTTCAGCGTAGCCTAACAGCGTAACAGCCTAACAGCCTAACAGCGTAACAACGTAACAGCCTAACAGCTTAACAGTGAACAGTGTATTAACTTATCAGCGTAACAACGTAACAGCGTAACACTCTTACTGCCTACCAGCGTAACAGCCTAACAGCGTAACAGCGTAACAGCGTAACAGCCTAACAGCGTAACAGCCTAACAGCGTAACAGCGTAACAGCATAACATCGTAACTGTTGGAAATGGACACTGGAATGACCCAAAGTGGTATCTCCAAGGGCTACAGGTGTCTACCAAAGAGGGTATGTTGACCCACCAAGTAAACATGCCCAGCCCAGTTGGTTAGCGAACTGGACAGTAACAGCATAACAGCCTAACAGCGTAACAGCGTGGCAGCGTAACAGCGTGGCAGCGTGGCAGCGTGGCAGCGTGGCAGCCTGGCAGCGTAACAGCGTAAGTGCGCGAGAGCGCGATAGAGCGACAGCACAACAGCTCTGTAAAGTGAGCCGCCTTCCCCATCTGCGACCCCCGCTGCTGGATCATCTCGGATAACCTGGTTAGAAGGAGCAGGGCAGGAGAGGAGGAAAGGTGACTTGCTTGATGTGTGGCACGCTTGTTGCATTCTCCATTCCCCCCATCTCACTCACCCTCTGTTCCTCCCCATACCCGTGTTCTGCGCCGCAGCTGGTAGGCGCTCGCTATGGGGCCGTGCCTGTGGCCCGCCATACTTGTTGCAATCTCCATTCCCCCCATCCCCGTTCCCCGCCGTTCCTCCCCACCCGTGTTTTCTGCACTGTGCTCTCCATGCCCCCATTCCCTGTCCTTACATTCCTCCCCGTACCCGTGTTTTGCACCGCAGCTGGTGGGGGCGCGGTACGGGGCCGTGCCTGTGGCCCGTCAACTGATGGGATCACCTGACAGGTCAGTCACACGGGCATGGACCGTACAGCTGGCAGGTAAGCTTATGCGGCTGGCAGGCTGCATACAATTGGATCATACAACCCACACAGGCGGTTGGCTTGTTGGAGTACCCAACAAGCACTACATGGCAGAGGTTTCAATCTCTATGCACCGTTGCATGCTGCCTTGCCTCGTCCCTCACCTCCCTCTCCCCCTCTCACTGCCTTGATTTGTTAGTAGAGTAGACTCTTCTCTGTGACCAGTGCACATCAAATCAGCATGTCGCATATCTCCCTCCCACTCCTTCCCACTCCCCCCCACCAGCCTAGTGGTCGTGGATGACCCTCGCCGCGGTGCCTCAGAGGGAGCACAGGTTTCTTTGACTGCCTTCTTACCCTTCTCACTGCCGCGACTTGCAAGCTTTTACCCGGTGCACATCAACTCAGCATGTGTCTTCCCGCTTCCCTCCCCCCCCACCCTCACCAGCCTAGTGGACGTGGATGACCCGCGCCGCGGTGCCTCGGAGGGAACGGGTTTCTTCTATGCCTCGGACAAACCAGCTGACGCTGTCATCGCCCTCACCCGCGCCCTCAAGCTCCTCGTGAGTGCTGCTGCCAGGCAGCAAGTGGCATGACTCTTTTAGTTGCAGCTGTGCCCTAATCCATGCATCATTGTTCCACGCTTATAGCAGATCAGCTTGCTGTTGACGCTCATATGTGCGCTCGTGCCTTTTCATTGCTGCTTTCCTTGTGCTGCTCAGAAGGCCGATCCGCAACGGTGGGAAGTAATCACCAAGACAGCAGTGTCGGTGGATACTAGCTGGGATGCCCGCAGCTCTGATGCATACGTAGATGCGTACCTGTCTATCCGGCGTTGCTAATGGAATCATGTCGTATGTGGGATGTAGATAATGCCGAGCTTTGTAGTGTGGTCAACCTAGGAGAGCCAAGTAGGGATGTTATTCTCCTTTTGCTTGTTTGCCAAGCTTTGCCGCATATCTAGGAGAAGCTTTATAGTGAGTTATATATAGTGTGTTGATTGCGTGTTTATTTTTGTGTTAGTACTTATGTAATCCCAATTCTGCTAATGACGTGGTTGCACTGCAGACATCTTCGATGAATCTGAGATATTGCAATTTAGAGGGATGCTAGTCAGCTGATCAGGCTATGGTGGAGTCGCGTTTCCGCGTAGTCGACTAGCAACAGCAGATTACTGACAGCAAGTGTCTCGTTGTAAGGTCGCGCGCAGCTGGTGCAAAAACCTCCTAGTCACTCATTGATTCAATAATAATCACCGTGGCGCATCTGCTGCTATGGTATGGATTCCTAGCCACACCTCGCAGTCGCCATCCCGCCTTAATAGTTGCCCTAATGTCAGTCGTATCTATGTTGCTGGTTCCTCGCAGATCCGGTTCATTCTCCTTCAGAATCGGCAAGGGAAGACGCGTCTTGCGAAGTACTATGTTCCGCTAGAGGATTCAGAGAAGCACAAGCTAGAATTCGAGGTACGCCAAATTTAAAATGTTCCGGTTAGAGGATACAGTAGGTTAGCAGAGACGAATACGATCAATACCAGCATGACAACTTGAACGGACGGCTGAGATTTCATTATCGTGCAATAACCAGCCCGTCTGCACAATAGAGCGAGAGCATTATTGTGGCGTGACTCTTCACCCTTGTCTTCCCTGCTTAGCCTCCAGCTCGTTCCCCTTTCCCTGGACTTGCTATTTTCACCGTAACCGCGCGCCTTCCCTGTGTCAGGTTCACCGACTGGTGGTTCATCGCGAACCGAAGTTCACAAACTTTGTCGAGGTACGCTCACTGCTGCTCTGCTGGCCTGCATGCCTTGTTCCCTCCCGTGTGATTCTGTGCTGCGTGAATTAGCAGAGGCCTCTGTTCGTCCTTCCCCCTGACGTCATTTCCCTCATTTCGCCATGCGTTTCCGCCCCGTCTCCCAAATTCTTGATTCCACTCCCTGCGAGTCTCCTCAGTTCCGCACGTACAAGGTGATCTACCGGCGCTATGCAGGCCTCTTCTTCTCGCTCTGCGTTGACCTCACGGACAACGAGCTGGCGTACCTCGAGAGCATCCATCTCTTTGTGGAGATCCTAGATCACTTCTTCAGCAACGTCTGCGAGCTTGACCTGGTCTTTAATTTTCACAAGGTAGGATTTGCAGGTTGAGAGCGGGACGCTCTGTCTGTAATCCCTATCATGTTATTTCTATGCTTGCATTTCCAAACAACCAATCTCTTCTTAATGGAGCATGTGGCTTGTGATCAGGTTTACCTTATCCTTGATGAGTTTGTTCTTGCGGGCGAGCTTCAAGAAACAAGCAAAAAGGTGTGCCATGTTGTGTCATGTGTTTGTCATGTTTGAAACTGCAAATGCGTTTGTCATGTTTGAAACTGCAAATGCCTTTCCATTCGTACCATAATGTTTCTGTCTGCCTTCACTTCCAGCAGCCCTTCCCTATTTCAATGCGTGGAATTTTGCTCTTCGCAATGTTGCTGCAGGTCATTATCGAAAGAATGGCAGAACTGGAGAAGGCAGAGTGAAGGTATGAGATCTATCAAATTGTACGGCCACAAACACACTTGTATCTATCCAACTGCTCGACATGGCATTGAACTGCAGTGTATGTAACCTCTAAGCATCCTGCTTCCTTGCTGAATACCGTATAACCCCGGATATAGGCGCATGTGCGCTTATAATAAAACTGGTTTTTTTAGGGGGGGCGCTTGTAATTGAGTCACGGCCATAAGCGCCGGCGCTTATATAATGACAAGTACAGATATACAACTTAAACGCATCAAAATGTACACATTTCAGTCTCGGTAGTTCAATCGAGTCGATATTTTAAAGCGTCCAGAATCTGAATCGCGTGAGGGCGATTCTCTGACGCTGCACAGTGCACAGAGATTTTGACACGTCAATTTGCCAGCTTGCCACCTCATCCTGACTGGACGCGAAAGCAGTCAGGACCGCGAAAGTCAAACAAACTGAAAATGGGTGCTGACTCGCTTGAAATTCAAAACTCGTTACCGCTTTAATCAGGATTGAAACATAATATTATGGATGCGCTTATAATAAATCAGGGTTTCACAGGGGGGGCGCTTATAATCGAGTTCCGGCCATAAGCGCCATGCTCCAGATAGAAGCGCCGGCGCCTTTAATTGGACGGCGCTTATATCCGGGGCGATACGGTATTGTAAGTTGCCGTACATAGTATTGCACCCTACCCTAGTATGATAGTATGATTCTTTGACAACGTCATAGTATCATAGTTTGACAATATATCGTACATAGTATGATTCTTTGACAACGTCACTCCGTTGGCCTGGCGAAATTGTTTGAAGTCATCACAAACATGTTCGTGTTAACGTGACCAAGATATAACAACAGCTTCACCGTATGTGCCCATTTCTTAGGTTTGATATTTTATGCGTTATTAATTGTGACTACTCTATGTAGATAATGTCCGCTGTGGCTTTCTTATCGAATAATATTCTTTAGCGGTGTAGCACCACGAGATTGTCTTCGTACCCTTCTCACGAGGGTGGAGCCACCAACCACTGGTCCACCTCGAGATCTCCCAAGCCCACACCTCAACATTCAACAACCTTTGACGAATCGCTTCGAATGCGATTGGTCGAAAGAGGGGCGCCTGGTTGACGCTTTCCGCAGCCTTTCTTGCGCCAGGCCTCACTTCGCTCAGCAAACTGACTCCCCAAACCAAACCATTCTGTTCCGCCCAAGTCAGGGCTGGCGCCATGCATCCAAGAGAAAAGCCCTTAACCCCACATCACTGGCCAGGTTTCGTCGGTGTTGCCGCTACGGTCAGCGCCCCTCGCTTCGGTCGTGACTCCCGACAGCCTCGAAATTTGCTGGACTGGCCGGATTGGCTGGGAGAGCTGGTTGGGATGAAATCGAGGTCCCGAACTTGCGTGGTTTGTGGTCCGGCCTGGACTCTAGGCCCAGTTTGGAGGTTCACCTGGAACTCAAGAGGCTAGGAAAGTGGTGTGGTGCGGTGGTTTCTGGCCTGGCGGTCTGGTTGGTGCCACCAACTTGGCGGGGATTGCGCGTCTCGAGAGTTGCGCTGATTTGAGCTGGTGGAGGCGGTGAGTGACGATGAGCAGACAGACGCGCGGGTCCGCTCTGCTGCTCGGGCTGGGCTCTACGCCGTTCTGCTGTGCTCCCTGTGGTGTCTTAGCTGTCCATTCCGAGATAAGCAGGCAGAAATGACTTCCGTACGTTCGATTTGATACTCTCGCCTCGCGTCGCCTTGCCAGTGCTCACAGGCCACGAAGCATTCCAATGGAATGGTTGAGCGCCAGTCACGCTTCTTCTACTATGCCTTCTGATTGTCGAGGCAAGAGGGCTAGCAGATAGCCTTGTCGCTCGGGGTACACAAACAACCTGGCTTGCTCTATTTAGATTCGTTCATTCCTCTCCACCACGACATTGAATCCAGACTAGGCTCTGCGTAAATGCAGCTTATTAGGGAAACTTAGGACGCCTAATTCGTTTAGTTGCTGGTTTTAGACGGAAGTTATGAAGCGGCTCTTGTACCGTGCTACAGAGTCAACAGCGTACTCACCTAGGAAGAAGACCAAGGCAACCAGGATTTCCAGTGGTAACCAGCAGCGACAAAGTACTAGAGTTCCTGTGGGTACATCGCAGGCTTCTGATTCGCTAGTAGTCTTTCGCCCGTCTTCGCCTAGAACGGTTCTCTCAGCTGACTCGGTAACCCTTTCGCGCGGTTCGACGTCGGTAACTATAGAGTCCAACACCGAATCCAGCGGTCTCCAGCCGGAGCTGGAGGTAACGAGCCCCGCGTTCGGCGCTGATAAGGGATGTAGCGTCGAGGAGTTCACCGATCTGAGCTTGCGCGAGGAAGAAGGTGACTGTAGCGATCCTGCACGTGACTATACCGAGCGGCACATGGTGTTTTCAGAAGGCACGGCAGGTGTCACGTTATCGAGCACGAAGCGCGCGCGCAACGAGCGGGACGGCGAAGGGATGTGGAAGGCAGCCAAGCGACGATGCGTGGCCTTCGATTGTGTCACGATCCCCCATCTTCCTTCATTAGGGGAACCTCGAATTCAGCCAGACGTGCGAAAACCAGATGCCTCAACGTCTTCACCAGCATCAGAACCGACAAGGCGAAGCACCACGAGCAAATCTCCCAGCCCAGTTTCTCGCCCTCAAGCAATTCCTCTCACAAGCCCGCTCCCATGTCCCACAGCTAGCGATCTCCCCATTCTCTCATGTCCGTTAACGCGCTTCAAGCGGCAGCGGCCGCCGACAATAGATATCCCGCGTAGGGGCTGCTTCACGTCGTCGCCGGCCGGCACGCCGGATTCGGCGGCGGAGGATGCGCTGGACGGCGTGGTGGAGGTGGCGGAGAGCGGCGCGTGCTTCGCGGTGGCGTGCAAGCGCGGGCGGAAAGCCGTGATGGAGGACACGTACCAGGCGCTCATGGGGTTCGCCGGGCGCGAGAGCGATGTAAGTGCGAGGATCTACCGGTTCTGCCTTTGCGTGTCAAGCATTTGCGTGTCCTGCACCTGCACGTTGCCGTGGCTTGCAAGCGCGGGCGGGCGGAAGGCGGTGATGGAGGACACATACCAGGCGCTCATGGGGTTCGCAGGGCGTGAGAGCGATGTGAGTGCCAGGGGGATCGAGGCTATTAACCCTGCATTTGCGTGTCATGGACATGCGTCATCGACATGCGCACCAGGTGGTGCTGAATTTTGCACGAGCTTACCGCTCTGAACCACACCGCTCTGTGTCCCTCTGCAGGCGTTCTTCGGGGTGTTCGACGGGCACGGCGGCACAGCAGCAGCTAAGTTCGCAGCGGCGGAGCTGGCGACCCGCGTGGCGCAGGCAGCCGCGCGCACAGGCGCGCACGCGAGTGAGGCGGCGCTGGTGGAGGGGTACCTGGAGGCGGACAGGCGCTTTCTGGAGCAGGTGCGTGTGAGGATAGCCGGGTGCTTTCTGTCTTGCTGAGCGCTTTTTTCTGCCTTGTTAGATGCCTTACTTTCTTGCGTGCAAGGGTGGCTGGATGCTTCCTTCTCACCCGTCCTAGCGTTCCCGTTTCCCCTCCAGGCCCTTGCCCTTCTGGTTTCGCCCCACCTCACCCCTCTCCCTCGCCCATCCGCTGCGCCCCTCCATTACCCGACTTATCAATATCCCGCAGAACGTCGCCAGTGGCACCAGCTGCCTCACCTGCTGGGCCACTCCTGGGCGGCTTTTTTTGGCGCATGCAGGGGACTGCAAGGCAGTGCTGGTGAAGGGGGGAAGGGCGGTGGCGCTGACAGAAGACCACCGGGCGGGCAGGGAAGACGAACAGGCTCGCATCACTGCCCTGGTAGGTCCCACCTCCCTATCACTGGATCCAGCGGGTCCTTTTTTTTCTAAGGAAGTTTCGAGTCTAAGAAGGTCTTGGTTCCCCTTTTCACTTATTCCTGTGCTGCTCCTTCAACCTCTTCGGGCCCTCCCCTCCCGCTCATGTCTCCTCTCCAACAGGGTGGCTTCGTGGACACAGCCACAGGCATGCCGCGCGTGCAGGGCATCCTGGCAGTGACGCGGGGCATAGACGCGCACTTGAAGGCGTTCATCACTCCGCAGCCAGACGTGGCGCAGGTACGCTTGGGAGCGGACTGCAGCGCTCTCATTCTTGCATCCGACGGGCTCTGGGACGTGGTGGCGCCACAAGACGCTGCTGACGTGGTCGCAGCAGTGGAGGCACGGGCAGCAGCGGGGGGAGCGCAGGCAGCAGCGGGGGAAGTAGGATCAGCAGCATCTGCACTGCTGGGGCCTGCTCCCTCCCCACCGAGCAAACGGGCGCGCATGCAGCGCACACAGGGCTGGTCGGCTGAGCCACGGCAGGAGAGGGAGAGGGAGAGGGAGTGCAGGAACCCGTTCAGCAGTCCGCTAGGCACACCTCCCTGCACACCACGCTCACACACGGCAGCCACCACCCCTCCTTGCACCCCCCATTCCCGTGCCTCCACCACCCCACCTTGTCTACCCCGCCCACGTATCCCCACCACCACCACTGCCACCACCACCACCACCACCACCACTACCACCACCTCCACTCCCACTCCCACCACCAGCACCCCACCCACACCCCGCCGCCTTTTCTCTCCCGGCTCCATAGCCCGCCGTCCATTCACACCTCCATGGCTCGATGCCCCTTCTGAACCTGCTGTGTGTGTAAGGCCAAACGGTGCAGCAGCAGGGACTTCAGGGGAGGTTGTGGCAACTGAGAGCCCAGCCACTGCAGCAGTACTACAGCAAGGGACAGCCAGAATTCTGGTGGATGGAAAGGATTTTGAAAGTGATGGGAGCAAGAAGGTTGAAGGAACTTTCCCCAGTGAGGTGGGGAGAGGAGATTGCAGAGGAGGCCGGGATAGTGAGAGGGGAGGGAGTGAGAGAGTGACAAGAGGGTTGGATGGGGAGCTGCTGCTGAGTGCATGCCAGGCGTTGGTTGGCATGGCGGTAGCAAGAGGGAGTAGGGATGACATTACTGTCATGCTTGTGTCACTTGCCCCTTTTGCTGAGTCAGCAGCATCTTACTGCTGACTCAAATCAAGATGTTGCTGCTGATGGCAATGTGTGGCATCAGCTGGAAATAGTACCAAATGTAACTTGTATGTATGTGCACTTGTACCTAAAGCAACTGGTCAGTGTAACATCCCAAGTAGACAAGTCAATATATTGAACACTCAGCTGTTCACTGGTCAGTCTGCCATGACAGAAAAGAGTGCCAGCGCTCATACCAGTAACATCCATGAGTCAATTCAAAAGGCAAGTGGCAACCCAAGGCATACACTAACTCATAATAGTACACTCCAACACTACAATACAGGGGCACTACCGGTATGATCTCAGCAAAACAAACACGACCACCTCCTACAAATTTAGCAGCCCTACTCAGACTACGGTATCAGACCCTACACTATCTGACTATCTATATCCATTCCGTCTACACTATAATTTTGGCGCATCCTACAGGGTTATGCCATCAGAAAAAAGAGCAACCAGAACCCTCCAGGGCCACCGGTCTAAAGCTGCTAGATGCATAGGAAGATTAGCGTAGCAGGGCCACGGAAGCAGACCCGTGTGCTATTAACCGTGCGTAGCTGGGATGGCATGGCACGGCATGGCACGGCATGACGCAGCGTAACACGATACTGTGGGGATAGAAGGGCTAGCTTTGTACCTCTCACCGCCCTGAGTGAGAATATCAGTGACCTGTGGAAAAGCTGTTGGAGTAAACCAGTTGCGGTGAGCGAGGGGTGGAGAGGAATGGAGAGGGGTTGCAGGATTTGGAAGTAGTTGAGTCCGGTTGTGTAACGCTGCAGAGGGTTTCCAGTTTATTCAAAATTGCCTCGTGCAGGAAGTGGGGCGCGCCTTATCGAGGCATGGAAGGGAGGAGTAGAGGCTGAAGGCAGGCATGATCTGGAGGGGGGTGGCAGGTGGGTGAGCCTGGGTGGAAGGAGGGAGGCGCAACGTGCAGCATGCTTAAGAGCACCACGTCAGCATGCGTTAGGAGTGCGTCAGCATGCGTTAAGAACACGTCAGGAGGGCACCAGGAAGTGCAACTGGAGCTGCAAAATTAGGAGTCACGGCAGCACCAGGAGCAGAAGCTAGCGCAGCAGCAGGAGCCGGAAGAGCAGGAGGAGCAGGAGGAGCCGCGACAGCAGAGGCAGAGGCGAGCGGTGAAGGTTGGCCGTGAGCCCTGGCCGCCATGGCTTCTCGCTCCACCGCCTTCTTGTGACACCTGCCGGGGGCAGCGGTGGAGCAGGAGAGACAACACCCGAGAGGGTCAAAGAAAAGAGCGGCGTTAGACGCGAGAGGTATGAAGAACCGGCACGCGTAATAAAGGGGCTGGCAAAAAATATTTGTAAATAAAGTCTAGCCCCACGGGTGCTGTCAGAGCGTGCCACGTGGCCTCACCTGGACTTGCCGTGTGTCCGCAGCGTGCTCCTCTGCAGGTCGACGGCACCGTCGCGCGTGAACGGCGTGGGCTCGTCCGCGCACCACCGCAGGCACAGTGAGCACCGCATCGCCTGCCGCCCGTCCGCGCGCACGTGCAGCTCCGCCCAGGGGAACGCCGCTGTGGGGAAAGCGCGGAGGGGAGACCGCGGACACGGCCGCGGAGGAGAGGTACAGAGGGGAAGTGCGGAAAGAGGAGGGAAGGCAGAAAGGGCAGAGAACAAGGGGAGAGGGAAAGGCAGGCGGAGGAATGTTAAGACCTAGTGCCAACGCGGAGTTAGCACGGTGAATGCGGGATGGTAAGGGGCATGAAGCCTCATGGCACACCATGTTTTGCGTTCCTCCGCAAACCATGGCACGGAGAAAGTGAGGGACGCGCCACGCCCGCATCGCCTAATGCCCATACTTGGCTGTTTCTCTACCGCATTGAACTTCACTTGCGCCGGTTCGCACGCGATTCTCGCTAACACTGTCAGAATACGTTTGACTTACGCCGCCATTTCTCGGGCCGCCAGCAGTGCTTCGGCTTCTTGTTCGGCGACGCGCCGCTCCCCTTCTCCCCGCCGCATGCACGAAACGACTCGCCCTCCAATGCTGTCAGATCCCTCTTGCCGCATTTCACGGGCTCGCTGTCGAGCAGCTGAAGCGCATCGGACGGCTGAGATCCGTTGGCAGTGCCTGGTGTTTCCAACGACATCACAGCCGTAGGAATGGCGACGGTGCTCGCGTCTGCGAAGCTTAACGACAAGCCTCGTACCACGGCCCTTTTTTCGCCCACATTTCGCCACGGCGCCATTCTGACCTGCGACGCAGTAGGCAGTGTGAGGCACGGCCGCGAGGCGGGAGGCGCAGACGAGTGTTGAGGAGGCGCGGGGAAGAGGGAGAGACGCAGCGAGCAGTCCGCCTCGCGCGCGGCTTGGCAGTCGAACCCCGGCGAGATGGGCGACGAGCGCTGCGATGTCGGCGGGGTGGGGGACGCGTCGACAAGGGGCGGAGCGAGCGACAGGCGAAGGGAACAAGGTCCATCCTCTTTATAATGCTCTTCGTTATCTGCTTTGTGGTCGAGGCTCGAGTTGGCGGAAGAGGACGACGACGGGCAGGCCTTGCGGACGCGCAACTCAGACGAGCGACGATCAGCGGTCAGCGGCGACGGGAGGTCGCCTGCTGCTGCCTCTGGCGCTGAGCTGATGTGCCTCGGAGGGGTTACTTGCAGAGACGGCGCTACCAGATGAAACGCGGACCGCGCACTGCCGCCTATTCGAACGTGGTGAGCCGAATTGGCGCTATTCTCTGCTCCGCTATTAACCGCCCTCCTGCTGGCCGTCCCAGGAAAGCCTGGTCCGCAATGGCTTACCCTATTGTGTACCCCGTTACCATTCTCTGTCTCGCTAGCATCAACGGCGGAGGTTGCGGAGTTAGAAGGCGAATGACGCGGAAAGGGAAGGCCCAACCCAGCACTAGAAATCAGGTCCAACCCAAAGGCGGGAAGATTATCATCTGTGTCTTCCATAGCACCTACGAGCGTTAGTTCTGGCTATCTTTGGTTCGAACAGGCGATGAGTACCGGAAATGAAATGGTGGAGATCAAGGCAGCTGGTATGATGAGGCTGGCTTTGCCGCCAGTGCTGTGGCCAGGCGGCTGACTGAAAAGGCGACCGAATATCCAGCTGCAGTGCTTTTGGTGTGGAAAGCCGAGGGCTGGACAGAATTGGCGTAACCCAAGGGTTCTGCCTTCTGCTAGCCCTTGCTTTTGGTCCAGAAAGCTGATCGCGTCGCTTGTGAAGCGTCCCGCTCACTCCGCAGCGGAGAAGGAACTAATTCGCAGCAGACAGGAAGGAGCGGCAGAGGCGCGTATGGTGGCGGGTGGTTTAGTGGTGCTGGATGATCTGTCCGTAGTCGCCGCAGCAGGCACTGGATGGGAGTGCGAGACGGGGAGTTCGGCGACAAAAACAGGCATGGAGAATGAGAGGGGAAGGGGCGCAAAATGTCAAAATGTGGGTTCGAGGCGCGTTTTGGTAATCACTGTGCAACGCACCCTGCTGCTTGCCCCGCACTCGCTGCCCCCACCTAGGGGGATAGCTGAAAATGCGCAGCGCAGGTTATTTCTGCGACGAACAGAACAGCGACGAAAAAAGATCGTCAAGCCCATTCCCTTTGAGATGCTAGTTGTCGCCAAAGGGAAATGCTTTCGCTTCAGGTGGTTCTCACCCGCGAAGGGTCGCAAAGGTGTTACACGAGCATCCACCCAGCCTCAATTGCTGCTCGAGCAGAAAGGTGATTTCGCTCAAGGGGGCTCGGCTGCACAGCTTCGTGACTTGGTCGCGTCGCCACCAAGCCTCTAGGTCCTCGAGAGCGCTCGCGTGATTCTGCCACGTGGAGGGCGCAATCAGCAGCCAACGAAACCCCGCCAGCACGTCAAGGCTCTGACAACTGACTGACACTTCGGGAACCAAAATCTATACGCGATGCTTGTACGCTCGCTAGGGACACCGTGCATCTACAACGTTTCTTTAGCTTAAGCAAAAGTGAATCACGCAATTTAGTCTGCTTGGCACACGCATGGACAAAAACCTAAAAGGTTGGCGGCATAAGGCCTTGAGGACGACGACTAGCGTCCCAGTCTTGGCCGTGCCGAATTCGTGAGCAAGAATATGTGTAGGCGCTCGTTATCCGGGCTGCACAATTAGCACGCCAAACGCGTCGCGAGGCAGTCTTCTACCACTTCAGATTCGGCAAGTGACAGCAGGAACACCAAAGTCCGATTTTATTTCCCAATCTCATGCAGATGATCAATTCGTGGTTTCAGGGTGGTCCTAGCTTTAGAGATGAGCCCGTGTCGCTCATGGATAGTTGGCGGGCGTATGAGGCCCAGGGTGGTGGTCTAGACATGGAGAGTGGCGAGGGTGCGTCGTCGTCTGTAGCAGGTGGGGGTGGATCTTCAGAAGGTGCAGCAGCTAGCGGAATTTCCGGACTTAGCTTCGACGCTTTCACGCCGTATTTTCAAAACGCATCAGACTCCGTCAATGCAACATGGTCTAGGTGAGCAGGCCAGCGACTGGCGAAACATTCCAGGTTATAATTCTAATAATCACTCGCGTCAGCACAAGCGGGGACCTTTAAATTTGACCCCTCGCGTCATTCCGTCTCTTTCCCTATCTCCCTTGCATTCCCTCACCCGAAACCCCTAGTGTGTCGAAGAACGTGCAGGAGTTGCCGGGAAGCATCCAGAAGCAGGCGAACGTGCTGCCGTCGAGTAAAGCTCTGATGTACTTCGTGGTGGTGCTGGCGACGGGCGTGTTCTTCCTCTTCCTCGCCTTCTCCATGTTCCTCCCAGTCATTGTGCTCGCTCCCCAGAAATTCGCTGTGTGCTTCACCATCGGCTGCCTGCTTGTGGTGGGGTCCTTCTTTGTGCTCAAAGGGCCCATGGTGCAGCTCCAAAGCATGACCTCCGCTGAGGTACGCCGTGCGCTTGTACCAGCGGTTGAAAGACTGAGAGTTGATGCAGCATCTGGAGGTGAGGGGTTGAGGAGTTGGAGAGTCCTGTCATGACATCTTTTGCGTTATCGTTGCTCCCCTTGCAGAGGCTCCCATTTTCGTTGTTCCTTGCGGGGAGCATGGTCAGCACAATCTATTGTTCAATGGTTCTTCACTCTTATCTGCTTTCAGTTATATCGTCGGGGGCACAGGTATGTGGACTTAACCCCCTTTCCAAAATCGCTCATGTGTTTCCAGTTTGCTGTCTTTTGTGTCTGTGTCATCAAGTTTTTCTGATATTACATACAAGTTGGTTCGGAATGCCACTCAAAAGTGCAGGTCTGCCAGATTCAATCTCTTGTGTTGGTTGTTTGGTTGCGTTGTGCTACAGGTACTTGCACTTGTTTATTACGTCGTGTCTTTCTTCCCTGGCGGCACCACTGGCTTGCGCTTTCTCACATCCATGTTCACATCAGCTGCTACCAGCCTAATGAGATAATATACTCAGTTACCAAACTTGATAAAGACATATACCGGAAGTGCTGTAATATGTGCTGTATTTGGAGTTGTAGATCTGACTTCAATGCGTGAACTGGATAACGAAGAAGTGATGAGGGTGTTGCCACGTGGATGCGCTTTGTGGTGAAAAGTTCTGTTGGTGTCTGACAGCATAGCCGTGCAAGATCTGCGACGTGCGTTCGCGAAATACAACGATGCGTGGTTTCCCGTCTCCGGCGCATCTGTAATTCGCAGTGTCCAGCAGTGCTGGCTGGCATCAAATACATCTGTCACTACGATTCAGCACATCATCTCGTGCATTTCTAGCTACTACGGTACATTTTAGGACGGCATTAGAAAGAGATCATAGGCAACAGCCGCCTAGAAGACTCATTGATAACTCGCGAAGGTACCTGAGCTATCATCGAACCGTGATTCGCGACAAATATCCCGACATTTGAGGAGAGATTCCTGCAGGTGTCGAGCACAAAGTCACCATGGCAGCCGTGGGGTGTCAAGCAATGATGAAGGTGCAATACCCCTCGATGCCACAGAACTGCGGGCAATGCGAGTCCCGCTGGTGTAATTTTCTCACACGTTACCCCAATGCCGTGCGTTTTCTGACTTGGATTCATCCGTCGTAGACGCAATGCTCGCGTCGTCTCAACTCATGTGTTCTCGTTTTCCCACAATGCCTTCCCCAGTCATTCCTCGTCAGCACCACTCTCAAGAATGGCGGCGATTCGTTTCACTCACAAGCCACCAGCCGACCAGCGTCACATAGTCGTCGCAACTCGCCGCGTCTAGCGGTTAGAGCGGCGGCGAAGACAGCGGATGATCCGGCGGCAAAGGCGCTTCAGGCGAAGTCGTTAGGCGAGCTGCGGGCGATGGCGAGGGAGAAAGGGCTGCGCGGCGATACCAAGGCAGAGCTGGTCAAGCTGCTGCTGCAGTAAGTCCATCATATATCGATCCCCTCGTGCCAAGAGGAATGAACTAGAAATGGTGGCTCGAGCACATGACAAGCACTAAATGCTGCAGTATTACATAGCGCTTTCATCTGCTCATTACACACGGTGGACAACGCCGCCCATTTGTTATGTAACCAACCTACGTGTAACCATGTAACCCGGCCTCGTGTCACCACCCAATGTGTGACCCTAACGCAGGACCCAGCCGTCCTCCGCATCCCCCGTGCAGCCGTCCGCAGTGATCCCTCCCCCCGAGTCAACGCTCAGACCCACCACTCCAGCTCCCACCGCCGCCACCAGCACAGCGAGCGCGGGTTCCGGCGGCAAGGGCGGCAAGGCGGAGGCGGCGAAGGCGCTGGAGGCGATGAGCACGGCGCAGCTGCGCGCCATGGCGCGGGAGAAGGGGCTCCGGGGCGACACGCGCGCCGAGCTGATTAATCTCCTCGTGTAAGGCGTAGTTATGCACTGTCAACCCAGCCCAGCCACCGCACCTGCTGTTGGCCAGGCTGGCGCATCACGGCTACTGCGTGTGCCTGCTGCTGCATTCCACGATGACGCGTTTCGCTGTGTTGTATTGCCATAATTGCGTCTCTCCTCTACATCTCCATTATTTCCACTTCAATCCGTTGACCCATCCCCCTCCTATCATCTGTTCTCCCCTCATCCGCCCAGAGCCGCGCTCCCCGAGTCCGCCAAGCCCACCTCCAACGCCTCGGTCATGCCGCGGCCCCTCCCCCCATCCGCCTCTCCTGCTGCTGCAGCAGCAGCCGCCGCTGCAGCCTCTGGTGACGGCAACGGCGCGAGCAGCAGCAGCAGCAGGGAGTCGGAAGTGGCGGAGGCAGAGGTGGTTCTGCCACCATTCGCCTCGGACATCCCCCCTGGTGGCATTGCTATCAGCCAAGTGCAGGTGAAGAGCGGAAGGGAATAATGGGGAAGGGATCTGCGGGAAGGAAGTTTGGGAGTTGTTAGAGTGCTCTCGCCCCCCTCAGTGCTCTCGCCCCCCTCAGTGCTCTCGCCCCCCTCAGTGCTCTCAGCACTCTCATCCTTGCACCGGTTTCACTCCTTGTCATCCCTTCACCCAGAAGCAGCCAGGGGCCAAGGCGGGCAGTGGGGCGACGGCAAAGGAGGTGAAGGAGGCAGCAGCGGAGCTGAAGCAGGGGCAGTTCGTGCGCTCCGTGCTCATAGGCGGCTTTGGCCTCGCGCTCGTGCCTCTCGTTCTGCCCCTCGCCCCCACCAACAGACTCGTCCCAGGCTCGCCCGCTGAACAGGTAGGCCTAGAGTGATAAGTTTCCAGAAGAGTGTTTGCTGTTGAGATTGTTCCAGCACCTGCGCACTGTACTTCTCCAGCAGCAGACGCCATAAAGTAGCGAGCACATTTGCATTCACTCTTTCACCTCTCCCCATCCTCCCCCTTCTCCCTTCCCGCCGTCCTCACGTTGCTACCAATGCTGATAATTGCGTCCTGGGTCCCTCCATCCATCTCTCCTGCCCCCCTCAGTTGGCAGCGCAGCTAGGGGAGGAGGCGACAGTGCTGCTCAACTCACTGCTGGACACGCAGGCTGTCACGGTGAGCCAGCTGCAAGCGCTCATGCCTCTCATCTCACCAGACCTGGACCCCACCACGCGGGCTGCCAGAGCTGCTTGGTTCTGCCAGCAGGTGCCTCCAGTCAACGGCTCGGTCGGAACAGGCAGAGAAATTTTGCAAAACGGTTGCTCAGATTGGCATTCGGGCATCTGCTCCGTGATTCATTGCCATACTCCTCTACAAAAATGGCCTGTGGGAGGGTGGTTGGTCTGGTCGGTCGATTGTGTGGACAATGGGACCCTTTTCCCGGCAACGATTGCCAGGACTCAGGACTCACCTTTTGTACGCTACATTCTTGTCCGCTTTGTGGGGCAATGCTGTCAAATGTAGGGCTACTTCCTATTGCTCGAAAAGCTGAGGTTGACAAGACGGCCCAGGATTGGGATGTATCAGCATGTGGAGCCATTTTCTTATTCAAGCAGCCTTCCTGTGCGGAGGTAGAGTTGATGCCAGATACACCCAACCCAAGGCTTGGTACTGTGATGTTTGCTCTTCCAATGTTTCTCTCTTTAATTACCTTCAATCAGCAATTGGAGGATGTTGTACTGGACCTTGCTTTGTGGGTGATGGATGGCAGCATAGGTGCCTCCGTGGCAGCATTGGAGACTGCAGAGTTATCAAAGTTAAAACAAACTGAGATGTGATAGCAAAGCGCCTAAATAACTCATGACTTTTAGCTTTTCTAATGAGTTGCTGTACTGATATTTTTTTTTGGAGGTGGATCAAGCAGGCATATGGCGTGTGGATGTGTCCCCTTGGCACATGCTTTGAGCTGGAAAGCTAGTCGCCGCTCATCGTGTGGAGTGGATCCCATTCGTGGCGCTGGAGAGCACGAAGGTCACGCACTGCGAATCTGAAGCGGGTTTTACCTACCGCATGCAGATCTTGCTAGTGCAGCTTTGCAAACGCATGCAATAGACGGTTCAGGGGAAAATGGTCGGCTTGCCGGCAAAAACATGCGGTTACCCGTGTTTAGGGTTGAGGCTCCCTCAATCGCATGCCATCCAGATGGGGTTTATTTTTTTCTGACCGCGGGCAGATAACAGTCCGTCAGCCTCTTTCCCCTGCGGCCGTCTATTGTATGCGTCTGCATAATCGCGCTGGCATAAGTTGAATGCCGTTAAAAATGGCCCGAATCTGAAGCATCGCCAGAAGCCACATCGCATGGTAAGCACGTGGAGGAAGCTGACTGTGAACCTGTTTCACCAATCCCGTCATCAAGGGAGAGCCACATCATCTGATGTCGCGCCCACAACAGAGGCAAAACATGCGGCGAGCTTGCGCCGTACGCGCACGTGAAATCCATCCCCCCAGCAGTTCAAACCTGTTGCGCGATTGCCGATCACCACACCAGTGCACCACCGACATCGGGAATCGGGATTCGGGAAATGGCGGAAGAACGAAACGCACCAACCGTCGGTGCAGGTCCAACCTGCTTGGGCCATGTCAACTCAGCAACTGCGTGTGCGCTTGCCATCGCACGAGTGCGCTGGCATTCAGCAAAGCCTCGCTGAGATTCCCCTCAGAAACGCAGAACCGTCCCTTAACCCGCAGAACGCTATTCCCACCGAACACAACACCGCGCGACTGCTTTGCTTCGTTGCAACTTTCTGGTCGTGTTGGGAGGGGCCACACTACCTCATATCCCCCTCTTGCCTAGAATTCCGTCCGAAAACATCAACCCTCCACCCCTCCGCCCCTCATCCACCCCCCCACCGTCGTCCACTCTTTTCCAACCTCCTACCTGCCGCACCCTCCTCATCCCTCATAGGGTTCAGTGAAGTGGATGGATGAGCCTCAGACATTTCAGATAGCTCACTCACAGTTCTGCTGGTTGCCTTCGCTCCATCACTTGACTTGTTCAACCCCTTATCTGTACCTGACTAAAATCGGTCCCCAGTGCACTTCAGTTCGCCGCAACGATTAGAGGCTTTCACACGCTTTGGATCACTCGAGGACATGGAGTGCGCAGATGCTTTGCGGTTATCAGTAGGGAGAAATCTAACTCTTGGGCCTTCATGGCAAACCCAACCAGATGGCTCTGACTCAAGGTAGCACCATATCTCCTCTGCCGAAATTCGCATATGTTCAACCTCCTGTAATCTGCTTTCGCTTGTGGCGATAACCTAATCTCCCCCCTGGTGACATTTTGCTCGAATCGTTTCAGAAGCGGAGGAGCTGGTCACGGTCGTCAAATCGAGAAGGATAGTGTGGTCGTCAGAAAGAGGCGAGTTCCAGACTCATCGCACCTTATTCATGCAAATCTTCCCCGTTGAGAGTTACGATTATTAACTAGGTTATCTTCATTGGGCGTGCAGGCCTCGAGAAGAAACCGCGAAAGACCTGCTCTGCACGAAAGCGAGTCGCGAAAAAATGCGACGTGATCGCTTGAACGACAGGTTGGTGTGCGAGGCAAGAATCTCTTCAAACTCTTTTAAATTTCATTTTATTTTTCTGCATTAGCTTGGATGCCGGAAGACTTGCAAAATTTATCAAGCCATCTGCCTCAATGTTTTATGTGGTGCAGATTTCTTGAGTTGGGGAGAGAGCTCGACCCGGATCTGCCTCCCAAGACAGACAAAGCCGTGATTCTGAACGACACTGTGAAGCTTCTGACGCGTTTAAAAGAAGAGGCGATTGCCCTGACAGAAAGCAACCGGCAACTACGTGACCAGATAAAGGAACTAAAGGTACTTTACCTTTCTTCTTCCGGTTTCACCGCTTGTGTACCTTCTTCCGTGTATGTATTCTACGGGGTGCGAGTACTAGGCACTTACTCATTATTTCCCTTGCGTACTCCCTCTACACCTTCCTCCCCTGTCTGCCGTGCAGGTGGAAAAGTCGGAGCTCCGCGAGGAGAAGTCACGGCTGAAGGCTGAGAAGGACGCGCTGCAAGGGAAGCTGCACTCGTTGCCCGTCCCTGCCACTGGTTGTTTTACATCCCAGGCAGCTGCAGCAGCGGCAGCAGCAGCACTCCAAGCTGCAGCAGTGGCAACGTTTTCTGATCAAATCGCAGCAAAACCAGTGGACTACAGCCACGTGTTTGCTGTGGCTCCGCCGCCCATGGACGCAGCGGATCAGAACACGGGCATGTGGCAATGGTTGCCGCCCAATGCTGCTGACATCTCCAGAGATCATATTCTTCGCCCTCCTGTTGCTTGAAAGCATGTGTGAATCAGGCGATATTACATGGTGCTCCACGCGTCGCTTACATGTGTGAGCCACGGGCATATGCAGTGGTCTCACACAGTGACATCTTTGCACGAGCTGGGTGCAATGCTGTCAGAATGAAGAATGGATGATGCATTGATGTTGGTTGGGGTACATATAGCTAACCCTAAGTTTTGTACCCCTTAAGACAAACCTCACTATAGGCTACAACATTTGACACACCCCCATAGCCTAAGTGAGGGGTGTCTAGCAGAACCAAACGAGTACGGTCACAAGACCAGTCCAAGAAACAAAGCTCAGGGTGGATCACAACGTCACCACACAGTCTGAGCACAAACAACAGTGGCCACAAGGCCAGTCCAAGAAGTAACAGAGATATATAGAAAGCAAAGTAAACAGTACACTCAAGTCTAAGCAACACGAGAACCAGTGTCAACAAGGCCTAACTGCACACAGCACCTCTGGTGGTCACAAGGCGGAAGCGCCTTGGTGAAGATGTCTGCAGTGTTAGCCTCGGACTCCACAAACTCAAAGCGAGCCTGTCCACGCCTCTGCAACTCTCGCAGAAGAAAGTACCTGACGTGAATGTGCTTCACTCTGCTCTCCAGTCGTGGCTCTCGACAAAGGAGAATAGACGCCTTGTTGTCAGTGAACAAGGTCGGTGCAGAGCTCGGCCGCTCACCAAGGTCGGTGAGCAAGAAGGTCAACCAACGCAGCTCCTGTGCCGCCATGGCACCAGCGTAGATCTCAGCCTCAGCTGTAGAGGTCGAGACCGAAGAGGAGCGCGTGGACCGCCAGGAAACAGCTCCAGAACCCAGGCTGAAACAGTACCCCTGAGTAGACCTGTGAGTCTCAGCGTCGTCAGCGTAAGAGGAGTCACAGTGACCAGTAAGTACGACAGACTGCTGTCCTCCAAGAACTAGCCCCACGCCTGATGTCGTCGCTAGGTACTTCGCCACCCTCACAGCTGCTGTCCAGTGAACAGGACGGTGTCTCCCTGGCGCAACAAAGCGCGCAAGAACGCTGAGAGGGAAGGCGAGGTCCGGGCGAGTACAAGTCATCAGGTACATGAGGCAACCCACAAGCTCTGCGTAGGGACCACTAGGCTCGAACGGCTCGTCAGGAAAGGGTCCAGTGAGTCTGTGGTCAACAGCAAGAGGTGTGCGCTGTACTGTGGAGTGCTGAAGCCCGAACCGCTGAAGGACCTGCTGCACCATGTGCGACTGTGAAAGTGTAATGGTGCGAGCAGCTCTGTCCCTGGTGATCTGCAGGCCAAGGTAGTGGCGCAGCTCACCAAGATCAGTGCAGGTGTGTCTCTTCTGCAGTTCGGACTTCACGTGTGCCAAAGCAACCCTGTCAGGGGTGGCGAAAACAAGGTCGTCAACGTAGACCAGAACAAAGAAAGGTGTGGGGCCACGACGCACGAACAGCGACGGGTCAGCAGAAGACGGCTGGAACCCAAGGTCAGACAGGGTAGAACGCAGGGTGTCGTGCCACTCACGAGGAGCCTGACGAAGACCGTAAACCGGTCGCCTCAGCCTCCACTGGGTCCCAGGAGGGAAAGAGCCAGTGAAGGCAGAGGGACGACGCAACCAGACCTCCTCGTGAAGACTGCCCTGAAGGAAAGCAGTAGAGAAGTCGAGAGAGTGTAACTCGTAGTCTCTCTGTGCTGCTACGTGTAGTAACACCCGAAGAGTGGTCATCTTCGGGGTGGGCGCGAAGGTCTGAAAGAAGTCAACTCCCTCGCGCTGACTGAAACCTCTAGCCACGTAGCGCGCCTTGAAGACTGGAGGAGATCCCGGTGGCCGCTTCACCCTGTAGATCCACATGCCGTCGACTACGTTCGCCCCCGGAGGGGGAACCTCATCGACGTAGGTGCCTGTGGATCTGTAGGAGGCCATCTCTGCGTCCATGGCAGCTCTCCACTGAGAGGCCCAAGACCCTGACACTGCCTCAGCGTAAGTGCGAGGAGTCGGAATGTCAAGGGCGTCGGGGTCACCCTCAGGGGCGAGGAGCATGGCACAGAGATGAGGGGAAGCGGCCGCCAGGAACTCTAGCTCAAACTGCCTGTCCTCTAGGGCGTCACTGCCAAGGGCAGACACACCCCCGACGGCCAGAGGACTGGAAGGAGGAGCAGCCACAAGAGCGGTGGCGAAGTCAAGGCGGCGGGTAGAGGCAAACTCAGTGACTGCGGCAGTAAGAGCGGACACAGAGGACACAGAGGCACGAGGGTGGGTAACAAGAGAGGCGAGAACACGAGAGAGAACAGGACGGTACGTGCGGTAGTAGTCAGTGACAGGAGAAGGAAGCGACACAGTGAGGGCCGACTCAGGAGGAGACGGAAGCACAGACGGAGACGGACGAGGTGGACGAGAACAAAGGAAGGCTGTACGAAGGTCAGTGAAGGGAACAGGAGACGAGGGACGAGCACGAGGGGAGCGACGAGAGGCCCAAGTCTGAGAAGGAGGAGGAGACAACGAAGACTGAGGACGAGGGAAAACAGCGGGAGAGGGGTCAGGAGGAGGAAGCGGAGGACCAGAGACGGGAGGAGAGGGGGAGGAGGAAGGAGAGGGAGACGGGAGACCAAGGGTCCGAAGACCCGAGACAGGAGGAGGAGACGGCAGCAGCTGCTGCTGCTGCTGCTGCGGCTGCTGCGGCTGCTGCTGCTCCAGCGGCTGCTGCCTCTGCTGCTGCTCCTGCTGCTGCTCCTGCTGCTGTCGCTCCTGCTCCTCGAGCCGCTGCAACTCTCTCTCCTCTCTCTCCAACTCCAGCTGCTCCTCACGAGCACGGCGAACACGAGCCTGGAACCTGGTCGGGTAGGGGTGGGGGGAAGGAGTAGTGTCCGGGGCAGCCCCAGAGTCGACCTCCGAAGCACCAAGCACACCACCCCCAGAGGCAGCACCAACACCAGCTCCAGACCCAGGCTCTCCAGAAACCGAAGGGACACCCTCACCCCCAGACGCAGCACCCCCAGACTCCGCACCAGCACCCCCAGACTCCGCACGACCAGTACCAGCCCCCGGAAGACAAGAGTCCTCTGCAACCCGCGGCTCAGCTCCAACTCCAGCACCCCCAGAACCAGAGACCTGTACAGGGACAGTCGCAGGACCAACCTCTCGAGAGGGAGCACCTGCAGGAGGCGGCGAGGAAGACTGTGGGGAGGGAGGCTGTACAGGGGGGGCTACCGAAGGGGGAGGGCTAGCCTGAGACACACCAGACGGGGCTGGACCAGGGGGGGGAGGCTGTACCGGGGGAGCAGGCGGGGGAGCGGCGGTCAGGAAGAGAGGGGGGGGAGGGACCGGGAGACCTCGACTGGGGTACCTGACGTAGTAGGGGGTGGACTCCTCGAAACGGACGTCACGGGAGTCAAAGAACCGGTGAGAGGGAGGGTGGTAAAAGGTGAAGTCAGAGGAGTCCTCAGGGAAACCAAGGAAGACACAAGGAACGGCGCGAGGCGAGAGCTTGTCCGCGGAGGTGTCGCGGACAAGAGCCAAGCACCCCCAGACACGAAACCTCGACGCGACACCAGGGGACCCTGTCCAAAGACTGGTCGGTGAAGCCTCCGGCCGAGAGACGCGTGGCCAGAGGTTCAGCTGGTGCGCGGCGTACCTGACCGCGTATGGCCACAGGAAATGGGGGGCACGGGCGTGAGTCAAGGAGGTGCGGGCAATCTCCATGACCAGGCCTATGCGACGCTCAGCAACCCCATTCTGCTGTGGGGACTCCGGAAGCGTCCAGGACTGACGAATGCCCTGTTCGCGACAGAATCCAGCGAGAATGCCGGAGCGAAACTCGCCCCCGCGGTCGGAGTGGAGACAGCTGACACGACGACCACGAGTGTCCTGGGTGGTAAGCAACCACCTGATCAGCGTAGAAGTCACCTCAGACTTCCTCGCCAGGGGGAACACTGTGGTGTAGCGGGAGTAGTCGTCAACGACCACCAAAAAGAAACGCTCACGCTCAGGGCCAGGGCGAGGAGAGGGGCCCCAGACGTCCAAGTGCAGCGTCTCAAAAGGCTCGGTGGCCGGACGAAGGGAGGAGGAGTGAGGGGTGGCGCGCAGCCTACCCTCGACGCAAGGACCGCACGGTGGTGCAAGGGACGGCGGCAGCGACGGCAAGACACGCGGGAGACCTAAGACAAGACGCTGACGAGACATAGCGCGAAGACGAGGAGGAGAAGGGTGCCCCAGCCGGTGGTGCCACAAAACGGTGGGGTGGGCAAGCGACCGACAGGAGCACGACGCAGCGACCGGACTAGACGGAGGAACCTGACAAGACACAGCTACCTGGGGGGACGGAGCAACCTGGTGAGACGCGAGGACTCGAACGGGGGGCAAAACAGGGGCCGGGGGCAGGAGGGGCGGCTGTGGCTGCGGCTGCGGCTGCTGCTGCTGCTGCTGCTGCGGCTGCTGCTGCTGCTGCAGTCGCTGCTGAGGGCGCGGGCCAGTGTGAAGAGTGTAGAGACCGGAGCCCGGCTCAGCAGCAAAAGTGGCGAGGGGCTGGTAAGAGTCCCCGTCAACACACACCGCAGTCTCTCCAGAAGGCTCAAACCACACACCCACGTGCTGACTCACGAGGGGTCGCACGCCCACCAAGTTCCGGGAGAACGAGGGGACGTGAAACCCAGTGAGAGACCCAGAAGGAGCAGCCGGACACGGCAAGGTGGTAGTGTGACGCGCGGTGACTGGTCCCGAAGTGGGATCAGCCAGCGCCACAGAAACAGGCGCAGGAAGAGGCGTAAGTGTCGTGCTGTCACGAAAGAAGCAGTGAGAGGCTCCAGAGTCCAGCGTGAACGACAGCGAACCGTCCTCTGAGGTAGCCGCTGGACTAGAGTCTACACAAGAACCTACACTAGCAACAGGCAACTGAGCAAGGCTAGCACCTAAGCTAACAACACCAGAGTAAGCAGAGTCAGAAACACTAGAGTCAACAACAGCATACATAGCATGGGGAGTACCAATCAGATCAACTAACTGCTCAGCAGACATGGCCCACAGAGCGGAGCCGTAGCGCTGAACAAGAGGCAGCCAGTCAGGGGCAGGAGCACCAACCCCGTAGACCAAACGAACCGTGTCAGTGAGCTGAGCAAAGCACTGACCAGGGGGGTGAAACCGGCCACAAGGGTGGCCACGACGAGTGCCTGTCAGAACCTGGTAGGTGCAGGGAGTGTAAGCAGCACCGCGCTGGGTCTGACGCAGCCCCGACCCTGGAGCCAGCTGCTGCCGCTGCTGCTGCTGAGGCTGCTGGGAGGAGAGGGGCTGCTGGTGCTGCAGAAGCTGCTGCTGACGCTGAGCCTGGTACCACGCCGCTGCTCCGCCAACCGGGGCAGGAAGTACAGGAGGCGACTGACGAACTCGGGCGTCGCCACCACCAGCAGGCGCAGTGGAGTCACCAGTCACTGCACGAGGCGCCTCTCCAGGCCCTGAACCTCCACCGCCGCCAGGCGCAACGCCACCTCCACCACCTCCGCCTCCACCTCCACTACCACCACCAGAACCGCCTTTCTTGCCACTCCTACCGCGGGACCGCGACGCAGTCGTAACAGCAGCTGCAGTCGCGTCAGTAGCGGCAGTGGCAAGTGAGGCAGTAAAGGTGGGTAACTGCGGGACTGTGCACCCGTGGAAGAGTGGGGGGGGCACAGCACCAGAGGCAGCGGCTACCGAGCGAAGGTTGCTCTCGACGTCCTTGAGTGCAGACTCAAGGACCTCGACGGTGAGCTCACTAGGGTGCTTCAGCAGAAGCGCGTCGCGAACGGAGGCAAGGCGGTCAGGGAGGCTAGTGGCGATGAAATAGATAGTAATCGCCATAGGGGGAGGAAGCAGTGCAAGCTGTGCCTCAGTGCAAGCAGCGCGGTAACTAGCGTCGAGCGAGCGGAGGTGAGCGATCAAGTCAGCAGAGCGCTCAAAAGACGCCAGGTCAGGAAACAGGAACGGGAGGAACAGGCGGCCAAGAGAGACAGCAGCGGGAGTAGAGTAGCGGGCCTTAATCGCAGTGAGGTACGCAGCAGCGGTGCGAACCTGAGTGAAGTGAACCTCCTCAGACTCAGGGAGGAGGCTGCTGAGCGCGATGCAGGCCGCAGCGTCACGTGACGTCCAAGCCGTCTGGTCAGCTCGCTGAGTGGCAAAGCGGGCTCTAGCGGCGTCGTCAGGGGCAGGTCCTAAAGGCGTAGGGTCGGGGGGCGCAGGTAGGGCACCAGTAGCGTGCGCCCAGAGGGACTCGCCTGCCTGGACCTGACTCTCTAACAGACGGCGAGCACGAAGAAGCCAGACGGAAAAATCAAGAGGTCTACCGTCAGCGTCGAAACGAAGGACACGCTGAGTCGCCATAGCGAAAACGAACGCGAACGGAGAGGGAGGGGACAGCAGTAGATGAGAGGCAAATTAGGGTTCGGCGGTACTCTGGGACAGGGGAGGAGCGGACGCCACAGCGGGCGTGACAGCGGGAGGTAACAGGGGACTAAGCAGCGGAGAACGAGAGCGGGCGCAGCGGCGGGCGATGGCAGCGCGTACGGCAGCAGGGGCCAGCAGCGCGCGCAGCGGGCGACGGCAGGGGGCGCAGCGGCGACGCGCGCAGCGGCGGGCGACGACGGCGGGGCCGCAGCGAGGCGCGCAGGGGGCGAGCGACGGCTGCAGGCGTGGCGGCGACGAGCGCGGTCGCGAGCGACAGTGGCGGGCGCTGCGGGACGGGCGACTCGACGGGGGGAGAGGGCAGGAGCGACGGGACAGGGGGAGGGCGACGTGACGGGGGGAAAGGGGCGGGTGCGACGGGACAGGGGGAAGGCGACGTGACGGGGGGAAAGGGGCGGGTGCGACGGGACAGGGGGAGGGCGACGTGACGGGGGGAAAGGGGCGGGTGCGACGGGACAGGGGGAAGGCGACGTGACGGGGGGAAAGGGGGCGGGTGCGACGGGACAGGGGGAAGGCGACACGACGGGGGGAAAGGGGGGGGGCGCGACGGGACAGGGGGAAGGCGACACGACGGGGGGAAGGCGCGGACGCGACGCGACGGGGGGAGCGCGACGCGACAGGGGGAAAGGGACGGGCGCGACTCGAGGGGGGGGGGAAGGCGACGCGAAGGGGGGGGGGGGGGGGGGGCTACGCTACGAACGAGAGCGTGGCTCGGCGCTAGGCTCGGTAACAACGAGAAGGAGACGAACGAGAGCTAGGATCAGGCTCGGGTGGTACGAACGGAGAACGGCGGAACGGGATCCCACAGGATCCTAACCTAACTGATACCATGTCAGAATGAAGAATGGATGATGCATTGATGTTGGTTGGGGTACATATAGCTAACCCTAAGTTTTGTACCCCCTAAGACAAACCTCACTATAGGCTACAACATTTGACAAATGCAAGTTGCGCTTCCAGTGCAGCTGATCAAGGTCAAAGCAAGCATGGGGGGGGCATGAGTCTGTTCTCAGTAACGAGGGTGGTGCTGTCTGCCAAGCTCTCCTTGCAGTTTTTGCAGTTCTCAACGATGCCGTCTGCGACATCCTGCAGGGAAGCAATATTATCACCAAGCTAGGCAGTGGACAGGTACATACAGGCCCAGCATGTTACATTACATCTGTACATGTGGAAATATTAAAGCTGCATTGCTATTGTACACTTTTTCTGTTGCCACCAAGTGTGTGATTAAATGCCATGACGAGAGTAAGCATTCTCTTTCTGTACACTGCACAATGCTCATGCTACCTTAGCCAAGACGAGCTGTCAAAAAACTACATCCCACTACATCAATCGATTCAATTTTCTAGACTGCACAGCCCCCATTGTTTCACACTTCACAAGCATTATCCTCGCACTCTAATGACCCCCACCGCGCAGAAACCCTTTTGCATGGAAACTCCGGCTTCTTGAGACTGAAAGGGGAGGATGGGGAACAAAGAAAGAAATATGTTGAGATTAATAGGAATGAATATACCACTGCTGCACACCACTGGGAGCAGTAAAATGATATGGCAAGGAGCGCGACAAGGAGCGTGGCAAGGAGCGTGGCAATAGCAGGGTCACAGCAGGTACCTGCGGTTGACGATGTTGTGCAGGCGGCACATGTACTGCTCCAGCTCCCCCCTCGACCCTGCCTGCGGAGGGTTGGCCCTGGCGTGGAGGAAACAATCAGGACAACAGAAGGGGCTTAGTAAAGGCAGTCTATACAGGGCAGGAGGTGATTTTTCAGTGTAGCTATGTGATACATGTGTGCATGGAAATATATCAAAACCTCACTTGACTATTTTCTGAAAGTGGTAGGAGCAGATTTTGCAGGGATAGACGCGGGCAAGGAGAGTCACCTGCGGGAGGACAGGAGGATGAATGGGGATGGGTGAGAGATGAGTGGATAAGATGGGACAATCACAGGCATGAACGCAACAAAATTCATAAAGTTGCATGTAAAACCAGATGTGACTACTCAGAAGCATGCACACAAGAAGTTCATGGTCAAAGCAGAATCATCAACACAGAGTGGCCGGATCAAGTGGAATGCAACGAGGGCAAGCATGGCAGCATGAGGGAAGATTGGGTTGCTGCTGCAGAACTCACAAAGTCCTTGGCGTCCTTCTGTTGCTGCTTGCTTGGCTTCTCCGGAAACTGTCGGAGGACGGAGTGGGGGAGGAGGAACGGGGGAGTTTGCAGAGGCATGCATATTGCAAATGCAAGGCAGCATGCGTAACTAAGCTGACTGCACGGAACCTTCCTGAAGGTCCGTCTGTGAGACTCCTCGCGTTTTGCCTCCTTGACAAGTGCTCCGGCTCCACCACCCTCGCTTTTCCACACCCCTCCGCACTCCCCTCGCACCTGAGCAGCCAGCGTGTGCAGAAACGTCCACGTGGCGCGCCCCAGCTCCTCCTTGGTCGCTGGCCCCGCCTCCTGCGCTGCCTGGTGTGCTCACGTAGGGAAGGGGGAAGAGGGCGCCGGGGGAAGGGGGGTTCGGGGAGGAGTGCGCACAAGGTCAGCTGTCATGGTCACGCCACGCCACTTCACATGCCTTATGCTGCTTGAAGCATGAAGTATGCACCACGCCGCGCATCAACAGCAACATCGCCATTCCCAGACTGCGCACCTTTTTGAGGAAGTCCGGAGCAGGACCCGCCCACTCCTCCGCGCCGTCCGCGCCCATCCTCGCCCCGCCCGCCTGCTGCTGCCTCTGCTGCCCCGCCTGCCGCCGCCCACCCGGGCTGCTAACCACAACTGCACCAGCACGAGCACCACCAGCACCACTAGCAGCACCAGCAGCAGCAGCAGAGGAAGGGGAAGAGCCGTCAGCGGCGAGAGGGGAAGGCGGAGGCGGCCGCAGGAGGGCTGCGAGGGCGCCGTCATCATCATCGTCGAAATTGTCATCGTTGCCGTAGTCCAACTCCTGGTCAGAAATACACAGAGAGCGTTACAAAGAATTACCTTGTAACGCGATTGCAACCAGCAGGCGAGAGAATTTGAGGGATGATGGAAGGTGGCGGGAAGGGAGAGGAGAGCCGCGCACCTCGAATCTCCGTCCGTCGCGCGCCTTGAGCGCACTCCCAGCCAGCACGGCGCCTCCCTCGCGCCTTCCCCTGCCTCTCTCGCTGTCCACGCCAGCCTCCGCCCCACTCACGCGCTGCCTGCCTGCGTACGCCGCTTCCATCGCCCGCGACAGAGTCGTGCGAATCGTCGGCAGCTGATTCCGTCGCGCGTCCGACGCCGACCCGTCACCGTCGTACGCTTTATTAGACACCAGAACTAACCCTTCAGAATCCCCATCAGCGGCGGGAAATCTACGCCTTCTGGGCACCTTAGGCTCTAAAACAGCCTCTTTTGGTCTCCCACCGCTGATAACGGTCTGCAGAGCTCTAAGCGGATCGGGCAGCCGAAATCCACCAGCCTGCCCGTCTGCGGCCTGACCTCTCCGGTCGACTCCCGCGATAGAGGCAAGGGGTAGGGGGGACGGCACGGGGTTGCGACGCGCAGCGTCGAAGCGAGCCACGGCGCCGTGCCAGCCGCGCTCCACTCCCTGGCTGAGCTCCGCTGCGCTCTTTGCGACGAAGCCCTGCAGCTGCGAGAATACCTCGTCAACAGGAGCCATGGCGTACGGTTCGCAAGCTGCTGGTTTAACGACTCATAAGCTGCACTAACGAGTGATAGCAAGCACTGCTAGTTTATTATTCATTTAGGAAACCCTACTGAGCGGTGATAGTAGGCTCGAGGCTACTTCGCTATACGATGCACTGATACTTTGCGGTCTAATATTTGTTTCATCAAAACACAAACTGTGCTACGGAACTATACAGCTTGATGCAAGTTATGCGGAACGTCTGACAAATGTATAACTGTACATGCAATCGAAACTGATTGTCAGTGTCATGCGAACATTGCAGAAAATGTCGGCGCGAGTAATGTGATGCTCCTTGCGAGTGTCAGTCTCGCAATTCTAGCGGTTGATCCTGCCAGCGCAGCATGACAGCAATGCGCCCTCCCTGACTCCCCCTGACTCCAAAAGTCGGAAAGGCTGCGTGTCGCTGTGCTGGCTGGGACAAGCTGCATCCCCCACAAATGCGCTTTGCAATCCCCAAAGTTGGATAATCCGCAACATCATGAATCATGAAGAGCCTTTATTCTTCATTCTGATCAGCACAGCTACCAACATCCTGTCACGTTGTATTCCATACCTCCCATTTTGCAAAACTCCCAGAAGCTAGTGCTGAATATTGGCCTCAGAAAGCGTCATAGCTATGACTTCCGTCACAGCCCTAGCGTCATTGAGTTCGGCGTCGTTTGCGGTGACCGCCAAGACTTCATCGTTATCATACTCTCGGCTGGAAAAACAAGGCTTGACTCCACGCCTGGTCAAGCTGAGAAAACGTACCGATGGGTTGATTCCCTTACAGAAACGACGTCTATTTGTTAGGAGAAATGCTCTTCCAAGCAATTTCGATCACCCGGGACAGCAGCCGGCGGCTAAAGAACGAGAATCCACGATATGTGCAGCGGCAGCTGCAGGGGTTGGTCTCATCCCGCATTCTGGAGGGTGAGCATTGGCAATTGGCGGGTCTTCCGCTGTTAATTCTGTGGTTGTGATTAACAATTGCTCCTTCCGCCGCTTGAACAGATTGTTGGACGCAATCCAGAGCATTCCAGAACGATACCCAAGCCTCACAACCGCTACACTTTTCTTTTTCTGGTGAGCCGAATTACGAATTTTAAATCCACTGTTATACTGTTTGTGGAATGTCATCATGAGAAACCTGTCATTTGTATGCGCAGGTACTTTCTCAACGTGATCTTCAACATATTGAACAAGAAGATATACAACTACTTTCCGTATCCATAGTGAGTGTTATTTTGTATCTACTTCACATGGCATCTAACGCGAATGTACATACCTGGCTTGCACTGCGTGCAACGGAGCTTCAAAGCCAAACAGATATCCACTTTAGGAATACTTTTGTTCATGTGTATGCCTGTTCTCTCGTTTTCCGGTCAGCTTTGTGTCTGCAGTTCACCTAACAGTTGGAGTCGTTTATTGTTTAATTTCTTGGGCTTTGAGACTTCCCAAGCGTGCTGTGAGTAACCGTCACTTGTGCTCTTAAAAAGATCGATCTTTGTAATACTGACAACTTTTTTTTTTTTTCGCCTGCAGCCAATTGACAAGGGCATGCTTGTGCTCCTCGCGCCAGTCGCATTCTGCCACGCGCTTGGCCATGTTATGACCAATGTATCGTTTGCATCAGTGGCTGTTTCCTTCACGCACACAATTAAGTGTAAGCTTGTCTGTCTTGAAAGCACCGGCCAGCCGACCCGGTTGTTCTTCTAACAGCTTGACAAGACGGGCTTGTTTTTTGTGCAGCCCTGGAGCCTTTTTTCAACGCGGCTGCATCTCAGTTTGTCCTCGGCCAGCATGTGTCACTTCCTCTGTGGCTCTCACTCCTCCCTGTTGTCCTTGGTGAGTGACTGCCTTCGTTTCGTTCCTTTGGCTCCACTTCATCGCACTGAGAGCTTGTATTTTCTACTTCAGGTGTTTCGCTCGCATCCGTGACTGAGTTGTCCTTTAACTGGACTGGCTTCCTCACTGCAATGACCTCAAACATTGCCTTCACTTACAGAAATGTGTTCTCCAAGAAAGCGATGGTGAGACATTCGTTTGAACAAAAATCTTCTGTGTACGCCGTTCTTACGGATGTCTAATTCCAATTTTCCGTATGTCCCAGGTTGGAATGGACAGCACAAATCTCTACGCTTACATTTCCATCATCTCCCTTCTCTTTTGCATACCTCCTGCCATTCTGGTACGTACGAAGTCTCTGTGGCCGTATTTTCCTCTGGCGCTTTTTTTATGATTGGCCTTTGGTCCTTCTCGCAGATGGAAGGCCCCAAACTCCTTGCTGGGGGGTTCACGGATGCAATCGCCAAAGTTGGCATGACCAAATTTTTGAGTGACCTGTTCTGGGTCGGAGTGTTCTATCACTTGTACAATCAGGTGACTGGGGCTTACCTTGCTAGCTCCTTTTCGGCATCGTTTCGGAACTGACCTCCCAACCTTCGTTGGCTGCAGCTTGCAACAAACACCCTTGAGCGTGTCTCGCCACTTACCCATGCCGTGGGAAATGTCCTCAAGCGTGTCTTTGTGATAGGGTTTTCAATCATCATTTTTGGTAAGTTGCAAGTTAATATGAGCACGGCTGTTGGGCTTCATTCTTTTCCTGTAAAAATCATTTACTTCTTTTTCTATCTCTACCCTTTTTCAGGGAACACGATTTCACAGCAAACCGGCATTGGAACAGCTATAGCAATAGCTGGAGTGGCTGCATATTCATTCCTGAAGGCGCGGGAACAAGAGGTAAGTTACTTCTCATGTGCTGTGAGGTCACTACGCCATTTTCCAAGTATTGCTGACGCCGGTACCTGTTCTCTTGCAGAAACGTGCACACTCCTGACTTCTGGCCACTATGATCTGCACATGGTCTACATAGCTCTTATGTATATTGTTGCTCACAATTGTGTGTAGGGAAGGGAGGGCATTTATGTAGTCTGTAGTCAGGAGGATCAGCCTGCTCCCTTTTTTGACATTTGTGCTCCTAGAATTTGCTCTGTAGATTAAATTCCTGTGTAAGTCCTCAAGTTATGAACCCTCTGTTAGATGTAGATATGGGCAATCATGCACAGATAGGCAGTAACCTGTCACCTGCACTCTTTTCTTCATACTGTTTTCAACAGCACCACAGGGTGTTACACGTGGAATTACTAGTAGGAAATTCTACATGGATGCTCTAAACAGCAATGCAAACTTGGAGTCTGGATTGAGCAAGAGGTTTTTGGGATTGCCATCTTCAACCTGTGACAGCCAAGCACAAGCAAAACAGCTTATAGGCAGTCCACACCACAACAACGAAGGATGACAAAACGAACAGTACAAGGAAACTGGTGCTTTTACGTACAAGCGCCCCAGCCTCAAAGATGAGGACACGGGGGAGGGAGAGCAGTGAGGAGACTCGGTGCGCAATGGTGATGGTGGTGACCCCATGGAACTCCCGAGCTATTGTGGCATGCATGAGTGCACTCGTGGCAGCATCAATATTGGCCGTGCACTCATCCAAACAGAGCACCTACAGAGAAGCAGTAGTCAAATCTTGTAAGACAGTAAACTGCCACTAACAAAAGAAACGAAAGGACAGGGGCATGCACACTCACATGCCATAAATTCGCCATGCCCGTTCTGCCCTACCTTTGATTTTCTGAGCATAACTCGAGCCAGGCACAGCAGCTGCCGCTCTCCTAGTGACAGCCCCCCTGCCGCCCCACCCACCATGGCATCCAGCCCTCCCAGCCGCCCCACTGCTGCATCCAGGTGGCACTTCCTCACGGCATCCCACAATGCCACGTCAGCATGCTTCCCCTCGGGATCCAGATTGTCCCTGGCACAGCATGCCGTGAAATATCGGAAGGTGGGAAGAGAGGGACAGGAATGGACAGGGAATGGACCGTGCACAGGGAACGAGAGAACTTAGATCTGCTGTGCCTGCAAAGTGTAGCACGGCATTTGCCTGACTCGGCCTGGCCGTACCGGATAGGGGCGTGGAAGATGAGGGGCGTCTGGGGAATGATGGCGAGGGCAGTGCGCAGACAGGACAGGCTGACATGGGCCGTGTTGACCCCATCAATGAATATACCACTCTCTGTACTGCTGCTATCAAAGTGTGCTGCCGTTATGCTGCTGCTGCTGGTGCTGCTGGTGCTGATGAAGGTTGTAGTGGTGGCAGAGGGCAGAGTGAGCGGTCGAAGGCGGAAGAGGGCGGCCAGCAGGGAGGACTTGCCTGCCCCTGTGCGGCCCGCTATGCCCACCTGCCATGCACAGAGGTGCAGAGTGGTACAGAGAAGAAAGCTTAAGGTAGGAGAAGACCGGGTTACAGAAGAGGCGCAGACGATGGGCTGGAAACAGATCATGCACTTCCAGGCACTTTCAGGCACTTCCAGGCACTTCCAGGCACTTTCAGGCACTTTCAGGAGCCCAACAGGCAAGCATGCTCACCCTGAGCACAAGTCATCTGAGAATGCTTCAGGTGAGCAGTTCTAATCTGAGAAACCTAAGCCTAACCATCTTTAGCGTAAGCATGTGTTTAAAGAGGTGCTCCACCTGAAGACCTTGACCCCAAGCCACCCCACCTGAGAGCTGCCGGGAATGAGAAAGGAGACGTCTGAGAGCACAAGAGGCAGCCCCACCCGATACGCCATGCTCACACGCCGGAACTCCACCTCCCCCTCCCTTGGCCACTTCCCCCGCTCCCCTCCTCCTGCGGCCGCCCCCCCTTCTCCTCCTGCATGTGCGTCCTTCCATGCGCCCTCCCCCTCCTGCCCTTGTGCGCCAGATAGAGGGCTCAGAGGAGGGGCGTCTGGTTCGTGCTGCAGATCCAGGTACTGCGGGCGGGCATACGAGGGAGTGGGGGAGAACGGGAGAGGGATGGGGGGAATGGGGATAGAAGGGCAAAGGGGATAAGAGGGGCAGCCAGTATCCTGCACCTCTCCTGCACCCCCCCCCCTCCATCCCCACCCTTGCTCACCTCCTGCACTCTCCACTGCCACCACGTCCTTGTCTGTGTCGGGAGCGAGGAGAGAGGGCCACTCACGGCACCACACGCCAACACGCCCCCTTCCCCTTCCCACCCCCTCGTCTCCTCAACCACATCTCCACCAGTGCCCTCCCTCTCACCTCCAGCACTCGTTCCACTGCCACCATGTCCTTCTCGGTGTCAGCAAGGGAGGTGAGCGTGCCATTGAGCAGCGACACTATGGGCAGCGCGTATGCCAGGGCCAGACCCAGCTGGGGGATGGGGGAGGGAGGGAGCGGGAGGAAGAGTGCGATCACACAGGAGAGCGCAAATGAGAACTGCAGTGAGCAGCGACACTATGGGCAGCGCGTATGCCAGGGCCAGACCCAGCTGCGGGATGGGGGAGGTGAGGGAGAGGGAGGGAGGGGGGGGGATGGTGCAGTGCGATGACACAGGAGAGCAAGAACCGGAACTGTAGTGAGCAGCGACACTATGGGCAGCGCATATGCCAGGGCCAGACCCAGCTGGGGGATGGGGGAGGGTTGGGGACGAGAATCAACAGTGAGCCAGGAGGGAGAAGAAAGGGAGATGCGCCGGAGCAGATTAAACACACAGAAAATGGCTCAAACAACTCGTTCCTTCCTTGATGGAGTGGTTGCAGGTGTGAGTACAGACAGGCATGTGCCATTGGATCAATCAACACGCAGTGCCAGACGGAATATGCGGTCATGTGGAGAGGCAGGATGCACCAGTGCAGACGGCACTGCTGCGCGCACAAGTACCAGTGCAGACGGCAATGCTGCACGCACACATACATACAAGGCCAGGCGAGACTGCTGCTGTTGTGGCCGTGGCAGCTTGGAAGAGGAGACGAGGGGTGTAGAGCACGAGTGAGAGCAGCGAGTGCAGTACAGTGATAGTTCCCCGCATCACGGGCACTCTGCTGAGACTCTTTAGCAACTCACGTGCTGTTGCACTGGATGCAACACCTGATATAACACCTGACCGTGCTCCTGACCATGTGCCAGGGCATGCTGCCTGGCGAGCAGCTGGCGAGAGCCAGAGAGCTGATGCCCCATCCGCTTGCGAGGAGGAGAGGTGGTGGGATATGGAAGGGAGAGCGGGGAGGGAGAGGGATTGGAGGGGTGGCAGGAGGAGGGAGGTGTTGACGGGGAGAGGGAGGGTGTGGGACGATGCTGGGTCGGACCGGAGAGGGAATGAGGAGGAGCTGTTGTTGCTGTAAGGGAAGAGCAGGTGTGGTGTGGGCGAGGGCAAGTGAGGGGCGGCAGGGGCGAGTGGAAAGGCTTGGTGCGCGGTGCTGCTTGGTAGTGAGTGGTTGAGAGGCGACTGGTTTGGAAACAAGTGGTTTGGATGTGAGACGTTGGGCAAAGAGTGGGTGGTCATGATGCCTGTGACACTAACGAATGTCACCACCACTGCTGCCATCAGCTGCACAGGCAAGAAAGGAGGCAGAACAATGAGGAAACTTTGAATAACACGACATGAACCGTGCAGTACCAATTGCAGTGGGGAAGGCTAACACGACAGGAGACGGAAAAGGTTGATACAACAGGAGGGTGTGATGGCTCGCGTGTGAGTGAATGGTGAGCGAGTGAGAGAGTGAGGGAGAGAGGGGGAGAAGGGGAGAGGCGGAGACGGGGATAGGAGGAGAGGGGGAGAGGGGGAGAGGGGGAGAGGGGGAGAGGGGGAGAGGAGAGGATGACCTGCAGGCGAACAGAGAGCCACTGGGAAGCAGCCATCTCAGAGAAGGATGCGTGCTGACTGGCCGACATGAGGGCCACTGCTCCCCGCATCACGTGCTCCTGAGACACAAAGATGGGGAGCGAACAAGAGGAGGGAACTTTTGAGGCGCCTCAAAAGCCCCATCCTGTGCTCCTGAGTCACGCCAGGGGGGTCATCGTTAATCCAGGGGAGTCGACGTTAATCCAGGGGGGTCTAACTTAATCCGGGGGGGTCTAAGTTAATCCAGGGGGGTCTAAGTTAATCCGGGGGGGTCTAAGATAATTTGGGGGGGGTCTAAGTCAATCCGGGGGGGTGAAAGTTAATCCAAGGGGGGTCTAAGTTAATCCAAGGGGGGTCTAAGTTAATATGGGGGGGTCTAAGTTAATCCGGGGGGGTCTAAGATAATCCGGGGGGGTCATCGTTAGTCCAAAAGGTTGTTCATCCGGGGGGAGCAGACTCACCTGGGCATGGAAGGCGCGGATGGTGGGCGCCCCGTGCAGCAGCTGCGAGAATGCAGCATACACAGGCGAGCGCGCTGCACTGTCCAGCCGACGCAGCTCCCGTGATGACTGGCGGTAGAGATCCTGGAGACGAAAGGGGAAAAGTGGAGAGAGGGGAGGAGACGAGAGAGGGATTAAGTCGAGAAATGGGGGAGGTGGGAGGAGACGAGGTGTTAAGCGGGGTGGTGGTGGAGATGGTAAGAAAGCAGGGTGGGTAAGCGGATTGAGGATGGCACAAGAAGGGAATTGCAATGTGCGAGGTAGAAGTGAGGGTAAATGAAAGATGGTGTACGGGGACGCAAGGGACTTACCTGGATGATGGAGTAGATGTAGGTGAGAGGCAGCAGGAGAAGCAGAAACGTCCACTGGAGTGAGGAGGAAGGTGGAAAGAGGGAGGGAGGAGTAAGAATTAGTGAGGTACATGAGAAACGAATAGGGAGGGGTGAGATGCGACGAGACAGCAGCAGAGGGGTTGGAGAGCCAGAATTGCCAAATCTGCAACAGTGGAGCGAGCTGAGGGTTTGGAGCGAGCTGGCATGGGCTTCTCTAAGTCGACGCAAAGGCATCTAAGTACAGTTACACAGAAACAGGTGTGCCAGTGCGTTGCTGCGCCGTCATCAGCAATTCTCAGCCCACTTCTGCGTCCTCACACCTGCGTGTAGAGCAGCAGCGCAGCGATGCCAGCGAGGCTGAAGGAGTTGGCGAGGAGGATGTTGGCGATGAACGGCAGCGAGTCATCCACCGTGTACAGATCCGAGGAGAACCTGGTGCAGTGCGGTTGGGAGCGGTGGGAGTGAGGAGAGGAGAGAGGTGGTGTGGAGTGGTTGAGAATGCATCTTGAGGGGTTGGCATCAAAGATCGCCAAAGGAATGAGGGGTGGCTGCGGATTGCTTATTCCCATCAATCAAGCATGTAAGTTCAAGCCACCCATGCATCACCCGTCAAGTATGTAACCTGGTACCACCCACCTGCCTCATCGGCCACCCACCTGTTGAGTATGCGGCCTGAAGGGTTGGTATCAAAGAATGCCAGGGGCGCGCGCACAACAGCAGCGAGCAGCTCGTGATGCACGCGGTGGGCTGCCGTCATGCCGGCACGTGCGAAGGAGAAGGCGCGGAGGAGCGTGAGCAGCGAGTTGAGAAGAGCGATGAAGGTGAAGAGACGCAGGTAGAATGCGTTTGTTGCTGCCTCTGAGTCAGGGGCTGTGGGGCCGAGGAAAGAGGGCAGGGGAGAGGAAGAGATGGCAGAGATGGGAATGGAGATAAAATCCTCATGGCCCCGTGTGTTGGCTCGAACCAGGTCAGGCACACTAACACACCTATGGAAGCTGCACCGCTGCTCACCGTGCTGCACCGCATCGGTCCAGACGGAGAGAGTGACATCAGCAGCATTGCGGGAGGCTTGCATGAGAGCTAGGCTCGCCAGCACCAGCGCCAGCAGCGGCCACCCCACCGCTGCACAGTACCTCCTGTGATGGGGGTGAGGAAAGGAGGGACAAGATGGGGGAAGGAGGGGAAGGCGACAAGAGGGCCGGGACGGTTGCTTGAGTAGAAGGCAGGAGGGGTTGAGTTGAGAGCATGTGCATGCACCGGTGGTGCACTGGGAGGGGGCGAACGTTGAGAGCATGTCACGCACCGGTACACGGAGAGCCGCACAGATCCCGCCTCCCTCCTCTCCTCCTCCTCCAAGGCTGCACCCGCCTCCCCTCCCTTCCCCTCGCCGCTGCATCCCCGGCCTTCCCTGTCTGGTTCCACTGCACACAGGGTCCCGTCCTCCTGCTGCCGGCTTTCCTCACAGGCAGCACCAGCAGTGCGAGCAGTGGCACCATCCACACCACTCCCACCATGCCTTTCCTTGGTGGAACAATCGTGTGATTCCCCATCAGCTTGCCCTGCCACCTCCCTAGCAGCAACCCCTTCCCCTTCCCCTTCCCCACGCCCATCCATCCCACATTTCCTGCCTTCGCCCTCGCCCTCCTGCCCCCCTTTCTCCGCATCCCGCTCCCCTCGCTGCTCCCTCAGCAGCCTCACCAGCAGACCGTGCGTATCTGCATTCATGCACTCGCCATCATGTGTGCATGCACCATCACTATCCACGCCAGTATCCCCACGCATGAGAGCAGGCACGGGGGCGGTAGGAGGTGCAACGTGCACGATCCTGCCATGCTGCATCGCCACCACCAGCGATGATCGCCGCACTGCCTGCCAGAACGAGTGGCAAGAGGGGTGGAGGGGCGTGAAAGTGAGTGGCAAGAGGGGTGGAGGGGCGTGAAAGTGAGTGGCAAGAGCGGGTGCCGCGTGGGCAGCAGGAGGTGCCACGTGCACGATCATGCCGCGCTGCATGGCCACCACCAGCGATGACCGCTGCACTGCCTGCCAGCACGCACACACAATTTCAAGGAGGTGAGTGGGGCAGGGAGAAGCAGGACGGGTGGAGGGGCATGGAAGCAGCTGGGTGGGCGAGGGGGAGGAGTAAACGGGGCGAGTGGCAGTACCGGGGGCGAGTGGCAGTACCGGGGGCGAGTGCGTGCAGAGCAGGATGGTGCGGCCTCTCGCGATTGGCCCGAACAGGCCGGCGTCGCTGACGTGGCGTGCCACGCGGGCATCCAGCGCTGACAGCGGGTCGTCGAGCAGCAACAGAGTGGCATCGGAGTAGAGCGCTCTGATTGGGGGGTGTTGATGAGTGGGGGGGGAAGGGATACACACGAGATTCGTGAGTAGATTCAAAAGCAGCGCTGGGAGTGAGTAGATCCAGCAGCAGCGAGCAGCAGCAGGGTGGCATCAGAGTAGAGCGCTCTGAAGAGGGGTGTTGAAGGGTGGTGGGGAAACGGCGGAAAAGGCGTTGAAAGGATGGAAGGATTTACGGACATGCAGTGATACACCCTTTGGTGCATGTGAGGGGCTTTGAGACATGTCAAACAAGACAACTGATGCGAATGCTTTCAGCACACACCTGACGAGGGAAAGGCGGGCGCGCTGACCGCCAGAGAGCGTGAGCCCTCTGTCCGCCACACCTGTGCCTCACTGCCACACCCCCCCCATGGCTGCCGTGTGTGAGATACCTCCAACGCGTCTTACCACACAGCCTCTCTCCGCCGGATGAGCCCCATTGCCCTGAGAGCGCACCTGGCGAGGGCAAGGCGCGCGCGCTGGCCGCCCGAGAGGGTGAGCCCTCTGTCCGCCAGCTGTGCCTCGTCACCCCCTGCCATGGCTGCTGTGTCCTCGTGCAGTGCACAGGCGTGCATCACCTGCTGGTACCTGGGGTGTGTGACGCATGGTGACATGACATGGTGGTCTGCTAGCGTCATCCACGGTGGCTCGATAGCATGATGCAATGACTCATATTCTCTTATGCACAGCACATGCCATAAGCTCCCTCTCTGTCCCCACCCCCACCTGATGGGGTCCCATGCGCCCCTTCCCCACCTGATGGGGTCCCATGGCGCCCCAAACAGCACGTTCTCCCGAATGCTGCCTGCAAACACCCACGGCTCCTGTGCACAAAGCAGCGAGGGTGGGGAGAAGCACTTAGGGCAGGGCGGGAAGGGGGCAGGTGAGAGGGGCGGCTCATGATAGCAAGCAGTTGAGCATAGCAGGGGTGGGTGTGGAGCAAGCAGCATGCAGCGAGCACGCAGTGCAAAAGCAGCGAGCAAGAGGCACACACACACCTGCAGGACAGCAGCGGAGCGGGGCGAGCAATGCACGCCATGTGGATGCGCGTTTCCAAGCCCTGCTGCGCCATGTGCATGTGAGCATGACGTGGCGTGCGTTGGCACGGGTTGCATCTCGCCTAGGATTGCAGCGAGCAGTGACGACTTGCCACTGCCCACCTGCAAGCGTGCGTGCGGGTAGAGGAGTATGGGAGTATGGGAGGAGGGAGAGGAGGGAGAGGAGGGAGAGGAGGGAGAGGAGGGAGAGGAGGGAGAGGAGGGAGAGGAGGGAGAGGAGGGAGAGGAGGGAGAGGAGGGAGAGGAGGGAGAGGAGGGAGAGGAGGGAGAGGAGGGAGAGGAGGGAGAGGAGGGAGAGGAGGGAGAGGAGGGAGAGGAGGGAGAGGAGGGAGAGGAGGGAGGAGGAGAGGAGGGAGAGGAGGGAGAGGAGGGAGAGGAGGGAGAGGAGGGAGAGGAGGGAGAGGAGGGAGGAGGAGAGGAGGAGAGGAGGGAGAGGAGGAGAGGAGGAAGAGGAGGAAGAGGAGGGAGAGAGCGAGATGCCAGAGTGGAGATGAGCATGGTGACATGGTGCAGGACGAGGGGACGCTTATGGCACAGCTGGCATGGTCAGTCGCAGGGCCCGAGAAGCAGTACAGCTGCGGTGAGAGCAAGATGCAACATGGAATGCTGAGAGCACCTTGCCCACGATGCGGGGCACCACAAGGGGAGGAGGCGGTCACCTTGCCCACGATGGCCACCACAGCCCCCTCTGGCACGCCCAGGCATATGCTGTGCAGCGAAATGCCGCTGCCTCCACTGCTCTCCCCACTGCCCCCCCCACCGCTCCCCCCTCTGCTGCCACCACTGGTGTACCTGCTTCCACTACCCTCCTGTGCAGCAGGACCATTCTCTTCCACACTGGCCCCAGTCGCCGCGCTGGCAGCCTTGCTGGTGGCGCATGAGCGAGCATGCCAGGAGAAGCTGAGTCCGCACATGTGCACTGCTAGTGGCGGGGACGGACTGGCTGCACAGGTGGTATCTGTGGCAGCCAGGCGGAGTGCACAGTCCTGACTGCTGCTCGTGGCAGTGGCCCCCTCTGCAGCAACCCCTACTGCATCCCCTGCAGCACCACCTGTGCCACCATCGGCCTCACTTTCAGACGCCTGTGAGGCTCCGTCTTGATTCACCAGGGCAGGGGAGGGGCGCAGCAGGGGGGCTGCGAGAGGCGAGGGTGCAGGGAGCGCGTGGCCGGGCAGGGGCGACGAGGGGAGGCGGAGGAGAAAGGGGAAGAGCGAGCGCAGCAGAGTGCTGTTGTGATACCCGGTGGTGCTGCTGTTGGCAGCAGGTGGAGTGGTAGGAAGAGGAGCAGTGGGAGGGGATGAGGCGGCGGGGGGGGTGGTGAAGGCAGAGGCGAGGGTGGCAGCAGTGGGTGGAGTGGGGATGCAGAGAAACGCCTCCAGGCGCCTCACAGAGATGAGCGCCTGAGGGTGATGGGAGTGAGGGGATGAGGGGTGAGGGGTGAGGGGTGATGGGAGCCACAGAGAGTGATGAGAGATGAGCAAGGCTTAGGGAGCGTGGGAGGAAGGCATGAAAGGAGGTGTGTGTGTGTGTGCGTGATGGAGACATGATGAGATAGAGCGTCGACTCACAGATACAGAGGTTTGTTACTGGGGGCGCCTGCCCAGGCTTGTGACTCACAGATTGAGCATTGACCCGCAGAGATAGAGCGTCGACTCACAGATTGAGCGTCGACCTGAAGAGATAGAGTGTCAACTCACAGAAAGAGCGTCCACGAAGCACAGATTCGACGCGCCTCAAAAGTTTTCTCGTTCCTCTCCCCCACCGTCCTCTTCCACCCCGCAACCCCCAGTTCCTGAGGGCGTATCGCCCCCTCACCGCATCCATTCACAACGCACTGCTCACTGTGCGTATCACACTCATTCCTGAGTCCGCTCAAATCCATTTCATAGTGCCATTTGCACCCGGGCACCATGACACGTCCGTTTCGTGACGCGCCCGGGCTCCATGACACGTGTGGGGCTGCAGGTTCTCCTGCGCCTGGAGCTGCAGATTCTCCTGCGCCTGGAGCTGCAGTTTCATACGCTGCACCGCCCACTCATACGCTGCACCGCCCGCTCATACGCTGCACCGCCCGCTCATGCAGACAATGAGAGCGCACGGCATAGTCAGGCCTTGGCTCAAATCTTACCTCGACGATGCCGTTGATGACCCAGGGGAAGGAGTTGAGCGGCCCCAGCAGCACGTTGAAGAGCGCCAGACTCGTGAACACCTGTGGGGTGGGGTGAGGGGGTGAGGGAGGGAGGGCGTTGTTGAGTCGACTGAAGTTGTTGAGTCGACTGAAGTTGTTGAGTCGACTGAAGTTGTTGAGTCGACTGAAGTTGTTGAGTCGACTGAAGTTGTTGAGTCGACTGAAGTTGTTGAGTCGACTGAAGTTGTTGAGTCGACTGAAGTTGTTGAGTCGACTGAAGTTGTTGAGTCGACTGAAGTTGTTGAGTCGACTGAAGTTGTTGAGTCGACTGAAGTTGTTGAGTCGACTGAAGTTGTTGAGTCGACTGAAGTTGTTGAGTCGACTGAAGTTGTTGAGTCGACTGAAGTTGTTGAGTCGACTGAAGTTGTTGAGTCGACTGAAGTTGTTGAGTCGACTGAAGTTGTTGAGTCGACTGAAGTTGTTGAGTCGACTGAAGTTGTTGAGTCGACTGAAGTTGTTGAGTCGACTGAAGTTGTTGAGTCGACTGAAGTTGTTGAGTCGACTGAAGTTGTTGAGTCGACTGAAGTTGTTGAGTCGACTGAAGTTGTTGAGTCGACTGAAGTTGTTGAGTCGACTGAAGTTGTTGAGTCGACTGAAGTTGTTGAGTCGACTGAAGTTGTTGAGTCGACTGAAGTTGTTGAGTCGACTGAAGTTGTTGAGTCGACTGAAGTTGTTGAGTCGACTGAAGTTGTTGAGTCGACTGAAGTTGTTGAGTCGACTGAAGTTGTTGAGTCGACTGAAGTTGTTGAGTCGACTGAAGTTGTTGAGTCGACTGAAGTTGTTGAGTCGACTGAAGTTGTTGAGTCGACTGAAGTTGTTGAGTCGACTGAAGTTGTTGAGTCGACTGAAGTTGTTGAGTCGACTGAAGTTGTTGAGTCGACTGAAGTTGTTGAGTCGACTGAAGTTGTTGAGTCGACTGAAGTTGTTGAGTCGACTGAAGTTGTTGAGTCGACTGAAGTTGTTGAGTCGACTGAAGTTGTTGAGTCGACTGAAGTTGTTGAGTCGACTGAAGTTGTTGAGTCGACTGAAGTTGTTGAGTCGACTGAAGTTGTTGAGTCGACTGAAGTTGTTGAGTCGACTGAAGTTGTTGAGTCGACTGAAGTTGTTGAGTCGACTGAAGTTGTTGAGTCGACTGAAGTTGTTGAGTCGACTGAAGTTGTTGAGTCGACTGAAGTTGTTGAGTCGACTGAAGTTGTTGAGTCGACTGAAGTTGTTGAGTCGACTGAAGTTGTTGAGTCGACTGAAGTTGTTGAGTCGACTGAAGTTGTTGAGTCGACTGAAGTTGTTGAGTCGACTGAAGTTGTTGAGTCGACTGAAGTTGTTGAGTCGACTGAAGTTGTTGAGTCGACTGAAGTTGTTGAGTCGACTGAAGTTGTTGAGTCGACTGAAGTTGTTGAGTCGACTGAAGTTGTTGAGTCGACTGAAGTTGTTGAGTCGACTGAAGTTGTTGAGTCGACTGAAGTTGTTGAGTCGACTGAAGTTGTTGAGTCGACTGAAGTTGTTGAGTCGACTGAAGTTGTTGAGTCGAGACCTGGATCGAACTTCTAGTCGACTCAGAAACCAGCAACATGAGAAACAGCAGGGTGAGTGAGAGGAGAGAGCAGAAAAGAGAGGGAAAACGAATGGCATACCACGGGGGCGTTGAGCGAACGACCGAGGAGGAGCAGCGAGGAGAAGGTGGCGAGGGAGAAGAGCACAGGCGTGCACGCCCAGAAGTACACACACCACGCGTCCAGGTACTTGCGCACCTGCAGGGTGCAACAGGAGGAAAAGGAACACACGGGTAAGGAGCATGCAGCGTAGGTATGATACGCCTTGAATTGCATGCCCATGCGTGCAGGTACTTGCACACTTGAGGCATGCAAGTAGTGGGGTCTGAAGGGGTAGTGGGAGGAGTGGGAGCACCCGGCCCTGACCTGACCGACCCTGCTCCCGACCACCCTGCCCTGCCCCGCCCCACCCCTCCCCACCCAGCCCAGCCCAGCCCCGCCCTGCCCAGCCCACAGGCACACAAACGTGCACTCACTGCGAGGGCGGAGAGCTCGAGGTGGCGGGCGGCGTTGATGTGGTGGAGCAATGCGCCCTCCATGGCCATGGCACGCACTGCTGCCACGTGGTCCAATAGCTCCTGCATCGCCTGCACCCTGATGACGTGGCACATGTTGTGGCAGCAGGAGAGAGATCAAGAGCAGTGTGAAGGTTCACGATTGCATGTTAAGAACCTTGCCATCCCAGCCCCCCCTCTATCTGTGACCTTTTCTCTCTGACTCGTCCTCACCTGGCGTCCTTGCTGGCCATCATCTGCTTGCTCGCCTCTCCTATCCGCCCCGCCAGCCATCGGTTCACTGCACACGGCACAGCACAGCACAGCACAGCACGCCACATGCACATGCACCCGGCACACGACATACGACATACGACACACGACACATGCGTCATGACGCATCACAGTACAAGGTACATACCGACACATGGCACAAGGCAAGCAGACGAGGGCACGCGTCAGATGTGGCAGGCAGGCACATAATATTCCCTGTGAAAGCTGATCAAGTGGGAAACCAAGACAGCAGGTTACCAAGGGTGTGGAAGGGCATGCAACATGGTGTTTGGTGTGCATGCGCAGGCAGCAGTAACAGGTTATGCATGAGCATGCGCGATACAGGTCACGGTGCGAGCACCTGGGATGAGGAGCAGCACGACAGCCAGCCCGGCCAGAAACGCGTAGCTCACCTGCAGGGAGATGACGGGCGTGGGGGGGAGGATAGTCAGACCGAGGTATCGAGTGTGGGAGGTTCAACGAAAGAGGGTGGGAGGCTGGCTTGGTCGCGCAGGGAGAATGGGTGGTGGCTGATCACAGAGTGAGACACGCAAGGGAGCAAGCATGTGCTGTGTGATGTGTGCTGTGCCGGCGATGGCACAGGGTGTGGTGTGGTGTGGTGTGGTGTGGTGCATACCTGCCAGTAGAGCAGCAGCAGCGCCACTAGGATCTGCAGGGGCAGACTGGGCGGGGCATGAGGAGCCAGTGGGAAGCGGGAAGCGGGAAGGGTCGAGCTCAATGGGATTGGACCAGGCGCTCCGATTGGTTTTTAAGGTAGGCTGATTAATCAACGCTCTCAGACCATTTTACAATCAGTGAGCATTGAGTAAAACGTTACGCAAGAAAGTGATAGTGCCTCACTGACCCCCAGAGGTCGTGCAGCGACATGACGAGGTTGACAAGCCTGTCCGCGTCCACACTCATGAGCGTCTGCACCTCGCCACCCTCAAACGACCCCCTCTGCGCTGCGCTCACTGCCAGCACCTGGTGGAGCGAGGTAAGGGGAAGGAGGGTAAGGGGGACATTGACGAGCCTATCCGCATCCACCCACACTCATGAGAGTGAAAGGAAGTCGCTGTCACTCCCAGCACTGTCATACGCAGCAGCAGCGGCAGCAACAGGCACCACTCGTCCCGGCACCGCAGGCACTTAGCAAGCTGGACTCGCTGCTTCTTCTTCTACTATACGGCGAGAGAGCGGGTGGCAGGAGAGCAAGAGAGGCGAGGGCGGCACCTTGGCGAAGACGCAGGTGGCGATGGCGGCGCGCAGCTTGAGGCCCATGCGCGCCAGGCGGTACGAGTAGTGCGCGCCTAGGAAGGCCCTGAGGGTGACGCACGACGCAACAGGGGGATGACCGTGGAGAGATGGATGTGAAGAAGCAACAGCGAGGAGAGGTATACGATTAATGGTTAGGAGCAAGAAGAGGTATGCAAATCAGTTTCGGGCCTAAAATAAGGTGGATGTCTAAGAAGAGGTAGAAGAATGTCTTCAGAGAGACTAGTTGCTGCTAGTGGCAAAGGGAAACACTCTACGCTGAAGCAGTGGGAGGAGGGAGAGTGGGCACACCTGAGCGCGGAGGTGGCACCGATGGCGAGCGCACATGCAAGGCCGTACCACCACGGCGTGGAGGGCGCGGCAGGCCCTGACAGCACGGAGAGTGGGCAGGCACATGGAGGGAAGAGGGGGCAGGAGGCAGTGCACTGTGCGGGCGGCTGGTGGGGGCAGACACCTGTGCTCTGTGACTTTCATGCATGGGACGGCCGGCTTTGATGCAGACGATGAGTGGGTCAACGGGGAGGCGACGGGAAACAAGCGAGAGGCGATCAAAGGGGGTGGGGAAAGGGGAGAATGTGAAGGAGGATGCGAGTTGAAGATGTGAAGATGTGAAGGAGGATATGTGAGTACCGTGCGTCGAGGAGGACTGGGATTCGTGATGCAGGGTGAGGGTAGGAGGGCCGTCAAGCACGGACACGAGTTGGTGCAGCAGCAGTGGCCCCGCGAAGGCCAGCGCATCGTTCACCAGCTGAATGGGGGAGGGCGGGGGAAGGGGGTGAGGGAGCGAGGTGGGGGGGGATGGATGAGAAGGCACAGCGGAGGAGGACGAGCATGGCGTTGGGAAACAGACGGCGCAAGGAGCAGGATGACTGGCCGTTTCCCCTGTTTTTGAAATCCACTATGTCACCGTGACTTGGCAATTCATTGTACATGTCCAGGTCTTACCACCCTGATCTGTCGCTTACAACCTTAGTCCCACGTGTTTTCCTCACATTGATTCCGCCGAGGTACTCCGCGCCTGTGTGCCTTGCGTTCACTTCACTATGTCATTGCTCGGATTCCACGTCTTACTGCCCTAATCCACTGGTTACCACCACCAATCCACGTGTCCTCACCTTGATGCCGCCGATCAAGAGGTACTCCGCGCCGAATATGGCCACCAGGCATCGCAGCAACGACGGCGCGCCTCGCTGCGCGCTGCGCCTGCGCCGTTCACGCGACGACGGCCCGTCTATTAGGGAATCTCCGTCCGACTGAGACGGTTCTCTCCGCACGTCACTCGTCTGACCGTCTCCGCGTGATGCGCGCACTGCGTCGCCTGCTGCTCGTTCCTCCTCCCATTTCGTCCAAAGGAGCAGCCCGCACACACGCGGCTCCACGTCAGCAGGCAGAGGCAGCAAATCTCCGGGCGACAACTGGCGTCGAGCGCCAAGAGCGACGAGGGGATTCACCCAGCTGAACGTTAGATTCGACGCGACACGGCGAAGGGACGATACGAGGGACTCAGCGCGATTGACGACGCGCCAACGAGGCGACAAGCTCGGCGACTCCATGAAATCGGTGGCAAAGATAACAGACCGAACGATCTTCGCATTCCTCTTACTCAGTCAATGCGTCGCGTGCCATGGATCGCGGTCGACCGTGGGACACTAACCATCGCCGCTAGCGGCGCGGGTATGACTGATCGAGCTTGGGGGAATGGGACATGCACGCCGATGTAGGGAAGGGATGTCAGACTGACGCAATGCCACTTCGGGGGCTGTTGGGAATTGTGAGCCAGTGCGACAATTTGTCCAGCACAAAGAAATCGTCATATGCTAATGGAGCTTTTGAATTGACTAAATGCAACCGAACTCGGATGCATCGGTGAATAATTACATACAGTAATGCAGATTCGGTTTCCTACTTCAGCACATTCGATATTGCGGCAATATTCCCGCGGTGTCAGCATCAAACAGGGCAACCGACAGCCACCGCGCGGGTTTCCCCCGCCCCTCGGCCTCTCCAGTTCCGCCACCCCTTCCGCGTGTAGCGGGAGAGAAGCGCTTCCCGCGCGCGCGTGATGCGAATCCCCTCATCACAACAAAGCAGGCACACAATCTCAAAGGTGGGATGGATGATGGATATTTCATATGGCAACCGTTTTCGGCAATTCCAAGGAGGCACTCTCAGGAAATGCATTTTCAAGAAATGAACTCGCTCGATCCGTAGATGTAAATGGCGGTTCAGTAGTGATGGGAGAGAATCAGTGATTCATCCAGCCATCCATCAGTGCGCGACACCCAGCGGTAATTCACAGCGCGTGAGTTTAGTAGCTCGATCGGCCTGTATCATCTCCGCCGCATTTTGCCTCACCTCATTATTGCTGAATTCGAGGGAACAGATCATTCACTGCCTTCCGCTCAGCGAGCTGGGTGCAGCCATGGATGAGTCGATTGAGACCGTGACAGCACAGCCTAGCGCGACGGGTAGTGCCGGTGCGAACGAAGAGCTGCACATGGAGACGATATCGCTGTCGGATAAGGTCGACGGGCAAGGCGCGTCTGCGACGGGCGACGACGATGGCGACGACGACGGCGACTCGCAGGCGACGTCGCAGCTGGCGGCGACATCGCAGCCGACGGAAGCGAGCGATTTCGACGACAAGTCGGACGACGAAATGGAGGCGACGAAGGCGGGGGAGAGGGTGCTGAGCGCGGAGGAAGTGGAGCGCGTGCGAATGATGCTGACGATCGTGGGCGACCGCGAGCGACGGGAACTGGAGGCCAAGTACCCGGAGCTGAAGCAGCAGCCGCTACCGCGAGACGCGAGCAACAAGGAGGAGGGCGACGACGACGACTCGCCGCCGCGACTCATCGTCCCGGTCGGAAAGGATCTGGTACGCCCGCTGCTCCGCGCTTGCTCGCCTGCGCTTGCGCATCCGCCGCTTCCGCAACCGCCGCTCGCCGTTCCCGTTTTTCATGAAGGCACCTTCCATTATTCATGAACTTATTCGTTTTCCTCTCGACTCCCTTCCGCATCCGTTGCCGTCGTCGCACATCCCCTGCGACGCAAAATCAGCTCGAGGCGACGCTGGGCGACAATCCCTTCATGCTCGACTTCGGCATCCGCAGCTGCGCCTTCTCGTACAGCCATTTCGTCGGCATGCGACGAATCAAAGCCTTCTCCGAGCCCGACGCCTCCGCGCGCTCGTACATCGCGTCCACGTCAGCAAAGATTCGCGGCAACGCGGTGGCGATTAAAGACAAGCTCGAGGAGAACTGGCCGAAGCTGCAGTCGTCGCTCGCAGCCGCCATCGGCGAGTCACTGACTGCCACGTGGCAGTGGGTGAAGGAACACAAACCGACGGGTTTGCCCATTCCGGGCGTGACGAAACCGGAAGGGGGAGCTGCGGAGAAGGGGGAGGGGGAAAGGGAGGGGGAAAGGGAGGGGGAAGCAGGGAAGGAGAATGGAGTAGTTGAGGGGGCGGTGGCCGAAGGAGGTGAAGCATCAGCGGAGGGGAAAGTCGGGGAGACAGGAGGCGAGGACGCAACGAGAGAGGGGGCGGGAGCGAGAAGCACAGAAGGCGCAGAGGAGGTTACAATTGTTACTGATGAAAAGGTTGAAGGGGAAACGAAGTCGGATGAAGCGAAGCAAGGAGAAGTAGCGAGCAACGGGAGTCCCGTAGAGGAGAGAAAAGAGGAAGTGTTGGACGAGAGGGAGAGGGCGAGGCGCGCCAAGGAGGAGGAGCGGCAGGCGAAGGAGGAGGCTGCGCGGAAGGAGGAGGAGGCGCGGCGGGAGCTGGAGGCGCTGGTGGCGCGCATGGAGAAGTGGGAGATCCTCTTCCGCAACCCCTCTCTTGCTAGCGCGCCCGCGCAGACCCTGCAGTTCGCGTGCAACGCCGCAGGGTGAGACGGGCGCGGGGAGGCGCGTTGATGGGAGGCGCGCAGGGCGGAGGGGGGTGGGGGGGTGCAGGGTAGACGCCAGGGATGGCAGCGAGGTCCGGGGGGTGTGAGGCGAGGGGCTGGAAAGGGTGGATTGTTGAGAGGAGAGGTGTGGCTGTGTCGTGAGAGCCGCCCTTCCAACACAGCCCCGCACAAATTTGTGCTCTGTTTCCTCGCCCCCTACCATGCCCCCCACCCCCAACCATACCCACCACCCCCCTTCTCCCCCCCACTCCCGCCGTCCCCCCTCGCCTTCAGCGCAGCCTGGCCCTGGTGCACCAGAAGCTCGCCACGTGGCAGCAGGTGGTGGTCTCGCCCGCCGTGCTGCTGGACGCCTCGCTGGCCGTGATTGTAGCGAACGGAGGAACAGTGCCCGAGAACAAGGGCTACCAGCCGTCCTTCCCGTTAGAAGCACAGAAGAGTGACAGGGGAGGGGGGAAGGGGGATGAGAGCGCGGGGAAGGAGGGGCAAGAAGGCGAAGGGCAGGGGAGTGCGATACGGTGGGGATCGGCAGTGATCAGAGGGCACTACCTGCCAAAGAGAATAGGGGAGTCGCTGCTGCTGTCACCACAGAACTTCATGGCGGTGAGTGAAGCAGTGCTATGCACGTGGTTAATTGTGGCCCCATACCAGTGTTTCCCAATCCCCACATTCCAACTCCTCTGCTTGTGCCTGCCCTTGCTCCCTCCATACCTCATGCCCAACTCACCCCCATTTCCCCCACCCCCTGGCATCGCAGCTGGCGGTGACGCTGCCTGCTCGCCTGCGCACGTCCCCCTGGAGATTGCTCTACTCCACTGCCAGGGATGGCATCAGGTGATCATGCAGGTGGCATAATGTGATTATGTATGTGACGTCAGGTGACTGCAACAGAGGTTACGGAATGATGTGATGCGTCCATAGGTCATGAATATCTCTCTTGTTAGCCCCTCCATGCCTCTGCACTTACTCATGCAATTCTTTCTCTCATCTGCCGTACCGCCCTGCCGCACGCCCCCACGTCCCACGTCCCGTGCCCTATCGTGTGTGTGCATGGTGCAGCATGTCAACATTGTTTCGGAAGATCAAGGGCAAGGGCGCGTGTCTGCTGGTTGTGCGTGACTCGAATAAATACGTGAGTGCCCAATTGCCCAGTGCCTACGCCAAGTCACTAACCCCATGCTCAATTCACAAACCCTGCTGCCACACCTGTCTCTGTCCTTGCTGGCACCACTTCCTGATCTCCTCGTGTCTTTCACGCACACGTGCATGCGTCCATGTGTGCGTGCATGCGTCCATGTGTGCGTGCATGCGTCCATGTGTGCGTGCATGCGTCCATGTGTGCGTGCGTGCATGCATGTATGAGCAGGTGTTTGGGTGTTTCACCAATGAGGAGTGGCGCCCGATGGACCGCTACTACGGCAATGGAGAGTGCTTTGTCTTCCAGGTACCCTTCTCCCCCTTGCGCCTCCGCTCGAAATTCTTCTGCCCTTGATGCCTTTCTAACCCCCCTCCAACACCCCCCTCCCCCCAGCTCTCTGCCGACCTTTTCCTGCCAGCCCCACTCTGCTCTCTGCCAGCTCCCACCATACCTTCCACTCTCCTCCTCCCTACCCCACGCGCTCCTCCTCTTTCCTCCCACTTCCCTCCACCAGGTGCAGCCAGAGTGTGTGGCGTACAGGTGGGCGCGCACCAACAGCTACTTCATGCTCTCCAGCAACGCCATGCTCGCCGTGGGGGGCGGGTGAGTGGGGTTAACAGGAGAGGTGGGGGAGAGTTCGTGTGTGTGTGGTAGATAGGAGACGGTGCTGTACTCTAGTTCATTCGGTTTTACCTGGCTGCTTTGAAAGAAAGCCATTGCCACTTGGTGCTATGCTTGACTCGCATGTTTCTCTGCATTCTCCTGTTTCCTTACTCCATGGCCCGATACCCAACTGTACCCTTTTCCCTGTATGAACCCCGTGTCCCACACCGCCATACCCCACACCACCATACCCCACACTGCATGGAGTGCAGCAACCACCACAGCCTGCTGCTGTATGCTGACCTCCTCACAGGCGCGAGTGCACCATGTGACACCTTTGGCAGCGCCATCCTTGCCAGGTACTGCCATGCCATGCCTTACGTTGCCTTGCCTTGCCCCTCAGCATCATTTTTCTCCACCATTCCATGCACCATTCTTGATAGCAGCTAGTCCATCATTCTTCATCTCTGCTTCACCTCACACGTTGCACCCATCAGCCATGCTTCACACTTTCTCATACTCCGCAGTTTCATAACCTTGCCCATGGCACTGTGCTCCCGTTCCCCCCTTCCCATGGCTCCCCACTTTGCTGCTCCTTGCTTGCCTCGCTGTGCTGCCTCCCCAGCTCGGAGGAGTTTGAGGTGGCACAGGTGGAGGTGTGGGGCTTTAAGTGACCCCACGCCCTTACCTCAGTCCTCCACATTCACGCAGCACTTGCACCCAAGACTTGGAGTCATCATTTCTCAACGCATCGCCTAGGCAGGCAATCTCAACGCATACCTGAACGCATCGGATACGCAGGCCGCTTGTCGTTAGATGCGACGAGGTTGCGTTTTCTCAGTATGAATCAGCTAGCTCGATGCAGCATTCTCTGCATCTCAGTTTTCTTGAGGACTCACCTTGTTGTGGCCTCTTCCACAAGAGCAGGAAACTCATACATACCGTATGTGCCGTATTTCTTTTTGTGAGGAGCCTTGTATTGCACATTGGATATTTATGAGTCATGAGATGAATTTAATGGAACGGAAAACATTTGAAGCCCTATTAAGTCATGGTCCTATAAGCTGCCTAGTGGTAATTGGGCCTTGAATGCAGGAGGTAGTGTTGCAGGGGGAGCAACAGCTCCATACCCGATATAATAAGTTGCCTGGTGCAAAATCACCAGCTGGACCTCTCCGCTTGCACAATTGAAATTTGTGTATGTGATTCTCTGGAGGGCGCAATCTACACAAAGCATGCACGAGGCCACGTGCGACATTCCTTTCTCCCATACCCTCAGGGCGTGTCCCACGAGTTCATTTACAGTCACTTCGAGGAGGGTAACCCTAATTACAGTTGGTAACCTAGTAATTTACGATACTGTAGATGTTTGTCCACAATGACGCGCCACATTAAAGAGCTGTAGACGTCCGAAGGTTCGAATTTCACACGTACAAATACAGCTGCCATGGTACGTGTGATCACCTCGCACCGCGTCCTGCAGTCCGTTACCCTAAGCAACAATTTCGCCCAGCATACAATGATGCGAAAATAGCGAACATCGCAAAGGGCACAGTCGACTCGCAACAAGGGCAGGTTACCGCCAGTGGAATGTGTCAATTGTGATTCGGATGCTGAGTTGTGTGTGGGCAGGACTGTGAGTCCGCGTGGTGCAATTTCGATTGGTGCAGTGCTGACACGTGGCGTTCTTTTCTCGTCAGAGTGTACACTTTTTGGCTGACTCGAATTTACGCAAGATTTTTTTTTTTCCCAAAATGAACTCATGGGACACGCCCTCACAGCCATCTATCAAAAGTCGTTCAGCCTTCCTGCCCCCTGCTAGCCTCTCTTTTGCCGCCATGCTCGCTCCAATGCGCTCCAACGCCCTGGTCCCTGGCGAATTCGCGCTGCAATTACATTCGGGCGGGTGTGACGTGGTCGCTTCTCCATCCAAACCCGTGATTCCTGTCCATTTCCCTGCGTCTCACTGTCCGCCGCCCCTCCATTCCTCGCGGCCTTTCCCACAATATCCGCCTGACCCTCTGTGCGATCGACACCCCTCCGCCGCTAGCGATAAGTGCGCTCGAGCCGTTCACCTGTTCCTCACGCGACCATGTCGCAGTCGCGCGCTCCTCTTCTCATCTCCCTCCCCTCCGATCACATCTCTTACCCCTCGTACTCCGATCTCCTGCCGGTGCCGCCAAATCCGCCGTCATCCCCGTTACTGCTCTCCTCGATTCTCGTTAAGATCTTTCATTGGTCAGACATGGTGGATTTGATTCCGCCATTGGCGTGGCTGCACATAACGGTGGGAGTCGTAGGTGTGCTGATCATGACCTACACCTTCATGATGCGCAAGCTGAAAGAGGATCTGCTTATATCGGAGACGTTCGCGGCGCTGGTGGTGGGTGTGCTGCTGGGGCCGCACTGCATCCGCGTCTTGGACCCGCACGGCGCACTGGGCGAAGAAACGGCGCTAGCCGTGCTGCAAGAGGTGAACGCTCCGCTCGCTCCCCCTTCCCCCATGCCTTGATCCCTTCCGTCAGCCGGAACGGCAGCGACTTCCGCCATCATCCCACTCATATCTCACCCGATCCCCCTCCCTCCCTCTCCCCCAGCTCTCCCGCTTGGTGCTGGCGGTGCAGCTCGTCTCAGCAGGCCTGGGCCTGCCTCTCAAGTACGTGGAGCGGCAGTGGCGCACGCTGGCCGTGCTGCTGGGCCCCACCATGCTCGCCACGTTTCTCATCTCCTTCGCCCTCGCCCTTGCACTGCTGCCGCACGCGGGCGTGGGGTGGCAGACGTGCCTGCTCGTCGCCGCCTGCCTCACGCCCACCGACCCCGTGCTCGCCTCCACCGTCCTCCAGGGCCGCTTCGCTGAAATGTGCGTGCTCCGGCGTGGGCGTGTGGTGGGGTGGGGTAAGGTAGTGTAGAGTGGGGTGGGGTGGGGTACGGTGGGGTGGGGTGGGGTGGGGCGGGGTGGGGTGGGGTGGGTGCATGCAATCCCACGTCAATGCAACGACCGAGGCACTCCTTTCTCTGCCAACCCTTGCATTCACCTCTGTCTCTCTGCACCTCTCTCACGCATTGTCTCCCTCCCTCCCCTCCCCTCCCCTCCCTTCAGGCACCTGCCAGCGCCGCTGCGCTTCATGCTGCAGGCGGAGAGCGGGGCAAACGACGGCATGGCCCTGCCGTACGTCTCACCGTGCCCTCTTGATCTCTCTCCCTCCCCATACCAGGCACCTGCCAGCGCCCCTGCGCTTCATGCTGCAGGCGGAGAGCGGGGCGAATGACGGCATGGCCCTGCCGTACGTGTCGCTGCCCATCGCACTGCTGCTGCAGCCCACACTCAAGCTCGCGCTCACCAACTGGCTCGCCGTCTCGTGCGCCTACCAGGTGATTTGTAAGGCGCCTTAAGCACCGTCTGAAGAGGCACCACTGCTGCTGCAGCCCACGGTTAAGCTCGCCCTCATGCACAGGCTCGCCGTCTCCTGCGCCTACCAGGTGTGCTTTCAAGCGTCTCAGTTCTTGTTTTGACTCAACGCAAAACGCACGTCTGCTGCACTCTTCCGACCATGCACTCGTGCATCCCATCATACCAACACTCCCACTCCTGCCGTCGCACGTGGCTACCAGGTCTGCTTTCAGTTCAGGTGTCTTCTGACAATGCACTCGTGCACCCATCATACTAACACTCCCACTCCTGCCCTGCCTGCCCTGCACATCACCCGGCACCAGGTGGGGCTGGCCATAGCAGCAGGGCTGGCGTACGGGCTGATAGCGCGCGGCCTGCTGCTGCTGGGCGACCGCTACGGGCTGATAGACGAGCCGTCCTTCCTCGCTCACATCATTGGCCTTGCTCTCGGTGCCCTGGGGCTTGTTCGGGCTGTCGGTGCGTCACTCTGATCTGCATCTTTGCGTTTTTCTGGGAGGCATCATATGGTGTGGTATGATCTCTGTGCTTCAGGCCCCTCGCCTCAGAGAGCCGAGGTCGCGTATTCCCTCCATGTTCCTCTGCCCCTCTTTGTGCATACGCGATACACCCTACAGGTGCAAGCGGGGTGCTGGCAGTGTTTGTGGCAACAATCGCCTTCTCCAGCCGGGAGCCCACAGCAGAGGAGGGCCGGTACGACGCGATAAACGGCATAGAGATCATCGTCACCATCACCTACTTCACCTACTTCGGCGCCTTCCTCCCCTTCGCTGCCTGGCGTGCCCTCGGCATCCCCCGCCTGCTGCTCTTCAGCGCACTCGTCCTGCTGCTGCGCCGCCTGCCCGTGCTGCTCGCACTCGCTCCCTGCCTGCCCGAGCTGCACCGGCAGGTGGGGTCCAAGCGAGCGGTGTATTGTCAGGCCGGGTTTGCGGGGTTTTTTGGGCCGATTGGGGTGGGCGCTGTGCTGTATGCGGCGCAGGCGTGTGAGGAGCTGGGGGGGGACGCGACGGCGGCGCACGTGGTGCTGTTTGTGGTGGTGGCGTCGGTGGTGGTGCATGGGGTGACTGCCGCGCCCTTGTCTCGCCTGCTGTCTTCGTGCATAAAGCGAGCGGAGGAGGAGCACAGGTTGCAGCAGCAGCAGCAAGAGCAGCAAGAGCAGGTGGAGCAGCAGCAGCGGGTGTTTGCTGCACTGCCGTCAGTGGCAGCATCACCTGCAATGGACTCGAGTAGTGAATGCTAGCGGATTGATGGGCAGACATACCCATACGCTTGTTGGATATACGGTACCCGATTCAAGAATGTTTAACAATAACTGCATGAATCAATCCTACCGGTTCTTCTTTGTGCCGCTTTCCTGGGATACAAGCCCAGCCACTTATTTCGTTTCGAAAGCTGTTGAGAGTAGTTTTTGTATGGTACAGACTTCAGCCTGGTTCAAATACACATACCGTAATCCCCCGTATATAGGACCCCCCCAGTTGTAGACCCCCGGGTCTATAATACGGCACCGGGTACTCTATTCGTGTACATTTGAGTTATACCCCCCTAAATGGACCCTAACAATATAAGACCCCCCCCCACATCCTAGACAAGTGCGGATTTCACCAAGATGCATTTGAAGATGGTCTAATTTACTGTTGATTAACAAAAATCGCACCCATGAACACACATGTTCACCCACATTACCCCACTAAGCCTGTCCCGCAACCCAAACCTCCACCTCCTCCCCATCATATCGCCCTTCTGCCCACCACTCATCGCCATCGTCCTCCCATCCCACTCCACCCTCCACCTCCGCACCGCCTTCCTCCTCGCCCTCCTCATCCTCCTCCTCCTCCGTGTCCCCCCCCTCCTCCTCCTCCTCCTCCTCCTCCTCCTCCTCCTCCTCCTCCTCCTCCTCCCTCCTCCTCCTCCTCCTCCTCCTCCTCCTCTTCCTCCTCCTCCTCATCCTCCTCCTCCTCCTCCTCCTCCTCCTCCTCCTCCTCCTCCTCCTCCTCCTCCTCCTCCTCCTCCTCCTCCTCAGTTGGAGAGGAGGAGGAGCCGCTGTTCTTGCTCGCAGGGGCGGCAGGGTCAGCGTAGAAAGGGTTGGGGACGAGCTCGTCGAGCTCCTCCTCGCACACATCCTCCAGCACCTTCACCTCCCCCTTATCGCGGAGGTGAGCGAGGATCATTTGATCCTCGCTCCCGTCGACGGCGGTGGAGATGCCGCAGGTCACGAAGGACTTCGTGATGAGTTCTTCTGGCACTTCTGCCCATGCCTCCGCAATCCAGCAGAGGACCTTCTCTGGAGGCGGCTTCTTCAAGTTCCCTGCAGGGAATGTCACGGGTATGGGCAGACGTGAGGCACCACACGGTGAAGGCACGCATGTTACAGGAACAACTCTCATGCTCACCTGCAGGGGTGAAAGAAAAAATCCCCTCATCCTGGAACCACGTGCGGTAGCGGTGGCGAACCCCGGCTTTGAAGCTGCGGTTCACCGAGACGTCCAGGGGTTGCACCAGCGAGGTGCAACCACCAGGTATCACCGTGCGCGTGAGCTTGAACAGCTTCATCATCTGGCCCACTGCTGGCGTGGTGTGCCCTCGGTAGGAGTCGAGGATGAGGAGCGCATCCTTGCGCTGCCCTTCCTCCTCGCGGTGCGGCTTCAGGAAGGGGACGAGAACCTTCGTTGTCCACTCCTGGACAAGGTCCTCGTCCATCCAGCCCTTTTCCTGGGCGCGCACGATAATGTCTGCACAAAACAAAAGAGACATGAGCGGTTTTTTTCCTTGACCAGGCGACGGCAGAACACTCGGGTGAGGCGCAACTCACTGCGGGGGATGGGGATCTTCGGCAAGGTCTTCCGCTTGAAGACTACGAACGGAGGGAGCTTCAAGCCGCCCGCGGTCACCGCCAGCATGACCGTGATGCGCTGCTTCTCGTACCCCGCGGTGCGCACGTGCACGGTGCGTGCGCCTTTCATCTCGAGGGTGCGCTCGGCAGGCATCTCAAGGAACAGGGGTGTCTGATCCGCATTCACGATCTGGTTGAGGGAGTATTCGTTGAGCACGCGCATCTGCCTCACGAATTCCCAGAATGCCTCGCACTTCTCCTTGCAATCTGCATCACAAGGGATAAGGGGGAGTCAGGCCAGGTGGATAGGTACCCGTTTACATCTGGAAACAGCGGATAAGGCGAGGTCAAGGTACCTGCAGCGAGCTTCTGTCCGATCTTTGTCTTCACGCGCCGCGCCAGGGACCACCGCCTGCGGAACCGTTTTGTCCAGCGACTGGACGACGACCACAACTTCTGGGGGTGGCGATGCTTCATGTAGGTCGCCGCCCAACTCTGGAGCAGACCGATGGAAATCGGCAGCCCTCTCCCACGGTGCAACAGGAACCTGCGGTATACTGCAACCTCCATATCGGGGTACTTGGGCTTTCGTCCCGCACCAGTGAGACGTTGGCGACACCCTGCAGCTTTGGCGAGCCGCTCCTTCATGCTGCGCCAGTCGCGGATCTGCTTCGGCTGGACTTTGGCGAGCGTGGCCAAACCCCGGACGCTCATAGGGGGCTGCGCGTCAAGAAACTTGAGCCAGTAAAGCTTCTCCTTGACGGTGTAAGCTTTCCGTTTCTTCTCCGTTTATCGGCGCCTTGTCTCCGGCGTCTCTGCATCGCGCTCCCGCTTCTTCTGTCCCCGCGGTCGGCTTGATACAGGGAACACGGGAACCTTCACCGGCGGAAGCGGACCGCGTGGGCTCCCGCTGGGCTCCTTATCTGTCGCATCGTTGCTAGAGGCACTTGGCGTAGGCACGACGGGCCTGGGCGACGGCCTAGGAACAGGAGGGTTCGGCACCTTCTTGCGGCGCTTGCGACGAGCACCGGCCGTCCCAGTATCGGGTGAGGGCACCATGGCGGCTAAGATGGAGCCAAACTGGCTGCTAGCTTCGATGCGAAATGGAACAGGCAGCCATCTTCAACGAGGCAGCCTGCCGAGCACAGTACGGGGACCTAAACAGGAGGGGGAAGTGAAGTCAGCCCGATGGACTAGGACGTGGCTGAAAACAGTGGGGGTGTCTGGAAGATCCCGCCCTTTTCGTGGACCGTGCAGCCCACACGAAGCGTGCATGGGGTGTGAAGGCCGAGGCCATCAAACGGTGCCCTGTGCTGTTGTGTGGACACCAAGGGGCGTAGGTGGCCAATGGGAGGAGGCTCCCAGATAGGGTTCGTGTAGACGTGGATTCGGCCCGTGTGGAGACCAAATCGAGTACATTTGGCAGTAGCTAAAAACGGGGAACTTCCAAATCACTACTTTGAGCTCCAAAATTACATTTCTATATATGTCAATATGAACAGACCCGGGTCTTCTAAAAAATACACCATGTAATTATACCCCCCAGCCTATTTAGGGGTGATTATCATAAGACCCTAGGGTCTTATATACGGGGGATTACGGTACTAAAGCCTTTTCGGCTTGGTTCTTGCGTGAAGAAAAGTTCGGCGCCTACAATTTCGGCCGTTTTTGCTGCCAAGTGCCTAGAAAGCGCGTGAATCCTTATAGGCGTAGGGAAAAGCATTCAACAACCTGGATTTTATTGCATATTCGAGTAGCCCATGTTCAAATACACATACTAGAGCCTTTTTGGCTTGGTTCTTGCGCGAAGAAAAGTTTGGCGCCTACGATTTCGGCCGTTTTTGCCGCCAAGTGCCTAGAAAGTGCGTGAATCCCTATAGGCGTAGGGAAAAGCATTCAACAACCTGACTTTTATTGCATTTTCGAGTGGCCCTTGTTCAAATACACATACTAGAGCCTTTTCGGCTTGGTTTTTGTGCGAAGAAAAGTTCGGCGCCTACGATTTCGGTCGTTTTTGCCGCCAAGTGCCTAGAAAGCGTGTGAATCCCTATAGGCGTAGGGAAAAGCATTCAACAACCTGAATTTATTGCATATTCAAGTGGCCCATGTTTAAATCCACATACTAGGGCCTTTTCGGCTTGGTTCTTGCGCGAAAAAAAGTTCGGCGCCTACGATTTCGGCCATTTTTGCCGCCAAGTGCCTAGAAAGCGCGTGGATCCCTATAGGCGTAGGGAAAAGCATTCAACAACCTAAATTTTATTGCATATTCGAGTGGCCTATGTTCAAATACACATACTAGAGCCTTTTTGGCTTGGTTCTTGTGCGAAGAAAAGTTCGGCGCCTACGATTTCGGCCGATTTTGCCGCCAAGTGCCTAGAAAGCGCGTGAATCCCTATAGGCGTAGGGAAAAGCATTCAACAACCTAAATTTTATTGCATATTCGAGTGGCCCATGTTTAAATACACATACTAGAGCCTTTTCGGCTTGATTCTTGTGCGAAGAAAAGTTCGGCGCCTACGATTTCGGCCGTTTTTGCCACCAAGTGCCTAGAAAGCGCGTGAATCCCTATAGGCGTAGGGAAAAGCATTCAACAACCTGAATTTTATTGCATATTCGAGTGGCCCATGTTCAAATACACATACTAGAGCCTTTTTGGCTTGGTTCTTGTGCGAAGAAAAGTTCGGCGCCTACTATTTCGGCCGTTTTTGCCGCCAAGTGCCTAGAAAGCGCGTGAATTCCTATAGGCGTAGGGAAAAGCATTCAACAACCTGAATTTTGTTGCATATTCGAGTGGCCCATATTCAAATACACATACTAGAGCCTTTTTGGCTTGGTTCTTGCGCGAAGAAAAGTTTGGCGCTTACGATTTCGGCCGTTTTTGCCGCCAAGTGCCTAGAAAGCGCGTGAATCCCTATAGGCGTAGAGAAAAGCATTCAACAACCTGAATTTTATTGCATATTCAAGTGGCCCATGTTCAAAAACTCATACTAGAGCCTTTTCGGCTTGGTTCTTGCGCGAAGAAAAGTTCGGCGCCTACGATTTCGGCCGTTTTTGCCGCCAGGTGCCTAGAAAGCGCGTGAATCCCTATAGGCGTAGGGAAAAGTCGTTCAATAACCTGAATTTTATTGCATATTCGAATGGCCCATGTTCAAATACACATACTGGATCCTTTTCGGCTTGGTTCTTGTGCGAAGAAAAGTTCGGCGCCTACGATTTTGGCCGATTTTGCCGCCAAGTGCCTAGAAAGCGCGTGAATCCTTATAGGCGTAGGGAAAAGCATTCAACAACCTGAATATTATTGCATATTCGAGTGGCCCATGTTTAAATACACATACTAGAGCCTTTTCGGCTTGGTTCTTGTGCGAAGAAAAGTTCGGCGCCTACGATTTCAGCCAATTTTGCTGCCAAGTGCCTAGAGATCGCGTGAATCCTTATAGGCGTACGGAAAAGCATTCAACAACCTGAATTTTATTGCATATTCAAGTGGCCCATGTTCAAATACACATACTAGAGCCTTTTCGGCTTGGTTCTTATGTGAAGAAAAGTTCGGCGCCTACAATTTCGGCCGTTTTTGCCGCCAAGTGCCAAGAAATCGCGTGAATTATTATAGGCGTAGGGAAAAGCATTCAACAACCTGATTTTTATTGCATATTAGAGTGCCCCATGTTCAAATACACATACCAGAGCCTTTTCGGATTGATTCATGTGCGAAGAAAAGTTCGGCGCCTACGATTTCTGCCGTTTTTGCCGCCAAGTGCCTAGAAAGCGCGTGAATCCCTATAGGCGTAGGGAAATGCATTCAACAACCTGAATTTTATTGCACATTCGAGTGGCCCATGTTCAAATACACATAGTTATTGAGTCTTTTTGGCTTGGTTCTTGAGCGAAAAGTTCGACGCCTACGATTTCGGCCGTTTTTGCCGCAAAGTGCCTAGAAAGCGCGTGAATCCCTATAGGCGTAGGGAAAAGCATTCAACAACATGAATTTTATTGCATATTCGAGTGGCCCATGTTCAAATACTCATATTGGATCCTTTTCGGCTTGGTTCTTGTGCGAAGAAAAGTTCGGCGCCTACGATTTCGGTCGTTTTTGCCGCCAAGTGCCTATAGGCATGAATTCCTATAGGCATAGGTAAGAGTGTTGGATGCACGTCATTCTGAGTGCATGTCATCCTAACGTCCTGCCGAGTGTTCGTGCTATTTGTGCTTGCATGATTTGCATGAGCATATGTCATTGTGCATGGCTGTTGGATATTATCATCTCTGTGTTTTCTCCAAGTCTAAATGCT